AAGTAAGAAAAAAGAGGAAAAAACGCGATTTTTAAGTCACTTAGTCATTTAAGTCGCTGGCTATCGTTTAACGTTGAGCCATCATCGTGCTGACATTACAATGTAATATGTATGTATGCTTCCCTCCGAGATCTACACGCTCGGCGTGCTAAAATGCTCCCGCAGCGTCACCGCCTGCTTGTAGGCTGCTTACATTTGCTAGCTCTGCTCGGCTTTTCAGCTGCTGCTTCGTCATCATACTGACGCTGCTGGTGATGGCGTTCATGTTTGCTTGCCCGCAGTGTGTGTGCTTGTGTGTATATACATTTGTATGTATGTGTATGTGCACATTATGACCGATTGGCCAAATCAGCGTCGTCGCCGGTACTTTTCGTAGCATTCGTAGCTATGCAATTTGCCATTTGTACGTTGAACGCGAGCGATGTAGTGCGATGAATGCGCGTGCGTGCGTGTGATATTTAAATAAAAAATAAAATTAATAAAATTTTTACACACTAGCTGGCTAATTGAATGGCAAGCACTACTAGACAATTTGTGGCAACAAACAAATGAAATGAAATATCAAATAATTGTGTGTTGGCAGTATTTTTATTGTTAAGCGCCAAAACAAGTGAAATTTTTGCAAATCAAACAAAAAATAAATAAATAAATAAAACAAAAAATTAAGAAATCTGCGTTGAAAATACAAAACAGTGCTGTCAAAGAAGCAAAGCAAAAAAAAAAACTAACAAAGCACAAAAACATTTGGCTATTAGCTGCTGATTAGCGCTTTGCGTGCGTTGATGCGTTGTAGTTATTTCTGCATTTTTTTTTCAATTGGCAGTGAAATATTTAGTTTAAGTAGCTCGCAAGGCAAAATAAACAGAGTTTTGTTAAACTTAAACAGTTTGAATACCATTTTCGAATGCAAAAAAGTCAGCATTAAACAAATATTCTCCGCGCCAGCTGCAGCAGCTGACTCACCTGTGTGACTGAGTACCCCGCGAGATAAGTCTTTGTTTATATATACTTTGCACATATGTAAACAAATAGTCTAGTCGAACGGCATGTTTAGTACATATCTAGTATGTACATGTATAAAAATAAATTAAATAGCTTACATTTGCATTATTAGTCATTTTAAGCTATACAACATAACGCGTTAATCAATTTACGTAAACAAATCGGCAACTGTCCTCACAAACACACCACCTAAGGTAAATGTAACGAATTAATCGACTTTGGAAATCGATCACAGCATACACATGTCATCTGTTATTTGCTTACTCATGGTTGTAATTGCGCTTATTGTACAGCTTAGATTTGTTATTAATTTTTCAATTAGGAACTTTTAAAGCGGCTTGTAAATAATTTTCTTAAATATTACCGCGCTATTTGCATATTTTATGAACTGTGGTGACTCATTTTATACCTTTGAAATATAGAATAAAAAAATAGTAAATAAAAAATAAAAAATTTTCAATCTTATATGAGCATGTGGGCATTTAATGCTCTTTATGTTTTTGTTATTGTTTTTTTTTTTTTGTTCACGTATTGTCATTGTCATTTTATTATTGTGTCATTTTGTTTATACGATCTATACGACCTACGTTTCTCCGCTCATATTTTTCAACGTCTTACGCTTGTGCAGCACAAATAAATAAATATGTAAATAAATACCAAGTTCGCTTTGTCAATTCCATACTTACATAAATTGATTTAGTATGCAAAGCGCGCGCGTATTGTGACTTATTGTGCGGCCTGCAAAACATTTTTTCAGGTTCAAGTGCCTTTTTCAGACTTTTCAAGAATTTCTTGTGCGCTTTATTCTCCCTTGTTGTGCTTGATAAAAAAAAAATGCTTTCCTTGCGAAATGATAGAAAAAAAGCATATTTTAACACTCGTACTTCCTTTATCACATTACTCTTTTGGCTGTCAAAATTTTTTCTAAGGAAATGGCAAGTGCTAGGCCGGAAATTGTGCTGGTGAGGAGCACTAAATATTCTTAAAAAAAAAAGTTAAAATTAAAAATAATAATAATTAACATCAAATTTTTTCTGAACCGGAAATTTCTATTACATTGCCATTTCTTTTGGTTGCGCTTAAATTTTATACTTTTGGTACTTTAGTAATTACATTGGCCTAAACACAAATATGCTTGCTATAATTGTAAAATTATATTACTGTGCCAGTACAAATATGAATTTATGTATGTTTTTAATGCGAGTATTCTATGTTAACTACCTACCAGACATTAATTTTGTGCTCCGAAGTTCTTTGCATGGAATTTTGAAAAATTTTTACTTTGTGCCTTTAGTGGAAGGTGTGAAATAATTATTGAGTTTTTAAACGATTCTTGTTTTTTTTTGTATTTATCATACAGAGCTATATATTTTAAATAAAATGAGCTTAAAATATTTTTTTTTTTTACGCAATTCCATTTTAAATCCAAACTTAATAGCTTTGACATTTTGTGGGAAACACCAATTCATTGAAATGGTCGCCTCGCTAATATTTGCCAATCCGTTTGAAGTAATTTTCGATTACTTTTGTGCACATATTTGGCGGTATCTCCGTCATAACTTGACGAATGTTGGTAAACGCATAAACACAGACTTTCGCGTAGCCCTCTCAAAATTAAAACTCAACGGTGGCAAATCGTAGGATCTGGATGGCCAATTGACATCGATAAGATGATAGATTACGCGGCCGGGAAACCTATCTCGCAATAAAGCCGCATTCGATCGCGTCGGCATTACGCTTGGCACCATCTTGTTGAAATTGTTGGTCAAAATTAGTTGGTTATCATACGACCGTAAGACTCCAAATTGACAGTGACACTCTTGCTGTTGTCGTTTTCAAATCGGTAAGGTGCAATCACACCTTCGGACCAAAGAGAGCGCTTGACTTTAATTTTTTGGGTGCTCCATTTGTGATAATTTTGCTCATTTACGTATCCTTATTACCAGAGGATTGTGTTGTACGAGCTGTTGTTGTCCGAGCTAGACTTTATATATATAATTATGCTCGGGCTAGGGAATGTCAAGCCCTTCGAGTGTATTTCTGACTTGAAATAAAAGTTCTTCAGAAAAATCCATCGGCCGTTCGATGGCGGCTTGATAGAAACTTTAATAAAAATTATTTCCTATATATACGGAGAGTTATGGATGTCATTTCTGCAATACCAGCATCTCAAATTATGTAATTATTGTTCTTATTCCGATCACCGTCAACGAATACTTCCCATCCAAATATTTTTCTGATACGAAGTAAGAAGTTTCTCGTATAAATCCATCATCCCTTCGAAGTAGGCATAAAAAACACCGTAGGTCCCTCGAACGCGCATCACTTCAGGTCACAAAGTATCAATTATATTTATAAGATACTAAGTCGCCTCTGCGTTGGTCATGCAACCAGTTAAGAAAATCCAATCCAATAGGTTAATTCTCAGCGGCGGAGTACTATCTTTCACCACGGTGAAGGAACGTCTAAGTACGATCCTCAGCAAAGCGATAGTATTCAGCCTATGGCTGAACTATGCGCAAACACTCCGGTGGACGAGAAAGAGAAAGAGTTATTTGAACTCCTCTGCAAGCGGCCGCTCTTTTCAATATGAAATATTAACTCGATAATTTATCATAAGATTAGACACAGCACCTATATTTGGTACAAACATCGGATAATTCAGTCTCTACGATGAGACTCGCCTAAATAAACTGCCGCTGTACAATTTCGCTGCGGACCGAAATAACAACAAGGCTTAAGGAGACTCTGGACAATATTCAAAGCCAAAAAGAACTTATTGATTTGCGCCAAAGCCAATAGAAAAACTTCTACGATAGGAAATGCCGCCTATTTCAAAAGTTTGCGATCAACCTCTGCTTACAAATGGTTCAAAGACCAGATCTGGCTACTGACTTGAGTATTAAGTTTATTGAGGAAAATGTCTGGAGCCTGCTTATATGAAATGCAATAATAGGAGAAATCGAGCCCGAATTCCCAATGGGTGACGTTGGAATAGGTGCTCCGCCACCTAACTGTTTCGAAGTTCAATTTTATTTGTACTCTGAAATCCATGGAAAGAGGGAAATCTTCTCAATATATATATAATATATATATTTTAGGTTCTATCAAGACTATCATCAATGGACTGATCGGCTTTTATCGATATGGGCTTATACCAGGTAGATTTTCCATAGACCAAATTCGGCATGCGCCACACCCACATCCTTTTCTCGTTTTTAACCGCAAAACTATTCCCGAAAATGGATTTTAGGAAATATGGGCAGTTGTGGACCGGATAATAAACCGAGCTATTCCTGAAAAGGACCCGAATGTCACTAGAACTATTGAGTCGTAGAATTTCAGAGAAGATAGGTTAGCTTCCAAGTTCTATAAGCTTCAGTTCAACTTCAGGGTTACAGTTGAAATACATAATTAGCCCTACTGTAATGCAGTTCTTTCACTCACAAGCGCCTGAACTTGTACTCTACCAGTTAAAGTTTTAACAGTAACTAATTAGACGTAATGCGACTGCACCGAAGCTTTTGAGCCGAGCGAAGCTGCCAATGGTGTTCACGGAATCCAATCACCATCTATTGCAGGCCAAGAAGTCGAGCTGCTTCAAGAGACCCCAGAACTAAGATCTGGATGTTGTAATCAACGTAGGTCGCGTAATGAGACCGCGTACGACCCACTCATCTCATCTCCATTTCCCTCTACAGCGAACCCGTCGACACAGCCCGTCTCCTGCTCCTCCTCTTAAATGATATCGATGACTTAGACTAGTCTCGTCTACTCCTGAGCGGCGTTAGCGAGCAACAGCCAAATGCGCAGCGAAACCTACATTGCATATAGAGCCCGGTTTCGATTTTCTGATAGATTAAAATTAATGAATAGTAACGGTTTCATATAGAAATTTTTTTTAACGCAATTTTTTGAACCTTGTTTATGTATTTAAGTTTTTAGAAGAAAAAAAAAACTTATGATTTTATGGAAAATTTGCTTCTTATTATTTACAGATGGCTATACCACCACCACCGGGTCCACCGCCGCCACCTGGGCCACCACCACCTCCGGCAATGGGAGGTCTCAAATTGGGTGGTGCCGGCGGCGGAGATATGCGTTCAGCGCTGCTGCAGTCCATACAAAAGGGTACTAAACTGAAAAAGACTACAACAGTTGATAAAAGCGGGCCAGCCATGGCAGGAAAGGTGTGTCTATATTTACGATAATACCTTTTGGTGTACATATACATATACATATATGATTACATACATGTGTATGTGTACATATGCACCATATTGTATTGTATTTTTGGACTATTGTCATTATTTTTAACGTAACTAACTGTTTTTTGTTGTTGTTTTTTTATTTAATTCCGCACAGATTTGCGATTCAACGTCATCCGCAACGAGTTCACCGAAACGAATACATAACAATAACAACAACAATATCAATACAAGCAATAACAATAATGTAGGCAATGGCGCACCAAAACTGGGTGGCCTATTCGAAGGGCTGACCTCAATGCCCAAACTGAAGCCAGTCAATGGCAGTAGTCGTGGTGAGTATAGGCGGGAAGAAAAGGCGAAAACACCTTCTGATTGACTGCATTACACATATACAACTACATACATACATATATATGTACATGTATAATAACTTTTTGTATTTTTTGCTTTTCTTTTCTTTGTATTTTCCCCATTTCCTCTATGGAATTTTTAGCACAAGCACCGGCCATCCCAACAGCGTCCAATGACTCGTCCACAGCGAGTAGACGCAACGACACATCACCACCTGCGAATGCCAACAACGGTGGTGTTGGTAGCAGCTGTAGTAATGGTCCATTAGATTTCAATGCCGAACTAACAAAACATTTAACACTGAAACGTCAAAAGCAACAACAACAACAACAGCCGGTAAATGCGACCGAAGCGAATTTACGCACAAATCGTGGACCACCACCGCAGCCGCCATCGACGCCACCGAAAAATCTTTCAACGGTAAAGACAATGAATGATAATTTATCTTCATACATACATACATATATATACGTAAACACAGTGGCATGAGAAAACAGACAGAAAATTACAAAGGCCAAAAGACAAAAAGAAAGAAAAAAATTTGAAAACAAGAACTATGAATGGCAAAATACGAGAAGATTAACAATTAAATGGCGAGAAAATTTTGCATCATCAGAAGATTTTTAGCAGATGGTTGTGCACAATTGTAGTATCTTGTTGTTGTTTTTATTTTTTTTGTTGTTGAGCAATATTTTTTAGTTATTTCAACGCTCTCCAAATGCCATATTTGAATTCAATGTATGTACAGTGTTGGAGTGGGAATTAGCAGTCTGTGTATTTCGAAAAAAAGTACCGTGTTGGCGAAGAAAAGAGCAGTCTCAGTTTTTTCGAGAATTTGATTTAAAAGTATTTATTACAAATTAAATTTGTTTTACAAAATTTCGAAAAAAGTGGTACAAAATTTTCAGAATTTTATACAAAACCTCGACCATTGCTCATAAAAGTACAGTGTTGAAGAGGAAAAGAGCAGGATTTGTATTCTAAAGACTGTATGAAAAAATATTGAAAAATTAAATAAAATAAAAAAAAAAATTACAACAAAATTCACAGTGTCGGTGAGGAAATGTGCAGTCTAAGTTTTTGGGGCGGAAAAGAGCAGTACATATTTATATTCTAAAGATTGTAAAGTAACGTTGAGGAAAGGAGCTGTTTTAGTTTTTCGAAAAAATTTACAGTATTGAGAGAAAAACCAAGTTTTTCATACAATTTTTATCTTAAAATAAAATTTATTTAATATTTTTGTTAAATGGCACAAAAATTTCATAATTTTTATAGAAAACGTCGATTGCTTTGCGTAGTATCGGTGAGGAAATTCTAAAGAATATATGGTGCCGTTGAGAGAAGGAGCAGACCAAAATTTAAATTTAAATTTATTTAAAACTTTTTCTTAAATTTTAAAAATTACAAAAAAAAGTGCGATATATGATATAGTATATTAGCGCTGTTTACTTGAAACACTGAGCAGTCTTTTTTTCAAAAAATTTACAGTGCTGGTGAAGAAAAAATAAAAAATTATATATAAATTTTCTGATATTCTATACACATCCTCAACTATGGCACTCTAGCACTGTTTACTTGGTACTTAAATTTTAATTAGGAATTTTAAAACAAATTAATAATTTTAATTAAAATTAAATCAATTTGATGTAGTTAAAGAAAATTCCTATAAGAAAGGGGCACATAAGTTTTAAAGTTTCTTTAAATTCATTTAAATTATTTACCACACAATTTTTCACCACACTGTCACACTGTGTTTACACGTATTTTCCTATTTGCATACGTACATAGTACATGCCCAAATAACAGTATCACACCTATGTATATAATAGTATGCATGTAAGTTTGTATATCAACTTATCTTAGACAGTATAAATTCATTTGTTAAATGCTCTGCTTCTTCCATAACTGTGTGGGAGAATTTATTAGCAGATTTATATGCCACATAAATGCATATAAACATACATACATACAAATGTAAGCAACCGTTTCTTGTAGTTTTCCACGCCGCACATTTGAATAAATAAATAAATTTGACATTGTATAAAATGTTACGGAATCATTATAAATACATATCTATATATACATATGTATATGTGTGTATGCATGCACTATATTTGGCAGACGTTGAGCATTAAAGTGTGCAATTTACATTTAAAGTGCGTGCGACGGCGAGAAGGTCTACATTTTTAGCAGCGACTGTTAATGAGGAAGGCGTAAATTATAATAATAATTATACGTTTTTTTCTTCAATGATAGTTATTATCTTACTTCATCGCACTAAACAAATTCTTGACAGGTTCTTTGGTAGTTAACATTTTAGAAAAATTGTTTATTTGCAATGCATACATATTAATGTATGTACATATGCCTATAAAATTTAATGTAATTTACTCTTAGAATTCAAGTAACTGTATTTTCATTTAAATTCTTTCACATTATGTTTAATTTTGCAGTTAAAAGAATTAAAAACATATAATTAAAATTATATTAATTTTTCTTTTAGTTACACAAATATAATATTTAAATTATATTAACAAAAATAAATTAAATACAAATAATTAATCTAAAATAAAATAAAACCCTTAAAGTAAAATAATTAAATCAAATTAAAACAAATAAATTAGCTTAAATTAAAAAATTTAAATAAAATTCAAATAACTAAATTAAATTGAAATATCAAAATCAAGTTTAAATAACTCTATTGAATAAAAGTAAAATCATTAAATTTAATTACAATACTTAAACCAATTTAAAAAAAAATTAAATAAAAGTAAAAAAATTAAATCAAATTAAACTAAATTAAATTAAAATAATTAATAAAAAATTAAATTAAAATAATTAAACTAAAAAAATTAAATTAAATTAAAGTACCACAATCAAATTAAAATAACGCTATTAAATAAAAATAAAATAATTGAAAAAAATAAAAATAATTAGATCCAATTAATATGATTGAATTAAATTAAAATACTTAAATAAAGGTAAAATAATTAAATCAAAATAAAATAATAAAATCAAATTAAAATAATGAAATTAAATTAAAATACTTAAATCAAATCAAAATAACTAAATGAAAGTAAAATTAATTTAGATTAAAATATTAGTTAAGTCCAAAAAAGTTAAATTAAAATACTTAAAGCAAATTAAAATACCAAATTAAAATATTAAAATCAAATTAAAATAATGAAATTAAATTAAATTAAAATACTTAAATTAAATGAATATTTTAACTTACAGTAAAATAGTTAAATCAAAATTAAACTATTTAAATCAAATAAATAATAATAAATTTCATTAAATCAAATTAAAACATGAAACATGAAAGTAAAATAATTAAATGAAAGTAAAGTAAAATGCATTAAATTAAAATAAGTTTATTTATTTAATTTAAATAATTTTAGCTATGGCTCTTTAAGTATCTACTTATTGCCTTCAAGCACCTCTTTTGGTATTCTCAACCTCCATTAGTATGTAAATATTATTATTTTACTTTATTTAGACTGCAGCTTAGGTCCTCAAAATATTAAACATATGTCCATATAATAACAAATAACCAAAATTATATACTTTTTGACGTATTTTCGATCCACCACCTCATATCTGAATAAATCAGTTGTATGGGTGCTATATGTTACGGTTGTTCGATTAGTTTTCAACACTAATGTGCGGTTCATCTCTTGTGTGCTGAGTACAAAATTTCACGCACGTAAATGCTATTTTGTTCATTTAAGGGTGGAACCCGGTTTAGAGGGTCAAAAAAATCGATATTTTTGAAACTTATCTCTTTCGATTAGAAATATATTCAGAAATATTTCCACAAAATTTCAGAGTCAAATTCCTAATCGTTCCGCAGAAATGGGCTCTGAGATAAATAATTTTATACATTTCTTCGAATATCTTAGGTTCACATTGTAGAGCAACTCCTAAGCTACAATAAAACAATGAAAATATTCGTTTTTATGTTTCAAATGAAAACTACGATCGCTACCGTGTTCACAAAATAGACTCTTCGAGCGAAAAGTGCCACAAACAAATACAAATTGTTATTGCTTAACAGTATCAAATAAAGTGAAAGTACATTTTTTTTGTAAGATTTGTGTATCTGTGACCTATTTCAAAAGTACTTAAAACATATTCTTTTGTAAGGCAACCTAAAACACTGTGCCGAATATCATGCAATTTTCAGCGTTTTAAACCAGGCTCCCCCCTTAAAACCTCATATCTGTGCAAATCGGTTGTATAGGATCTGATCGATTCCAACAATACGTCATAAAATACAAGTGTTTCAAGTTTGGTTGAAGTATTGTAAAATCTGAGGGACTAGCTTGCGTTCAGACAGACAGACGGACAGATGTCTAAATCCTTTCAGTTCAACGTTCTGATCCCATCGGTATATATTTTAATAGGTCTATATCTCTGAGTACTAGAACTCACATACCTCGAACCACTTTTTTGTTCATGAAATTATATTAAAAATCAAACTGGGCTCCTTTAGTTATTTTTAAAATGAAATCTACTTTTTTATGGTATTGTTTTGCTTATATTTTATTTTATTTTTATCTTTAAAAGTATTGTAAGTCCATCAGAAGATTGAAAACTATTTTTCCATGGCTTGAAGTTTGGACGCTACAAAAACAAAAATTGCTCGGTTAATAAATCTTTTTTCCTTATTTTACAAATTTGTATAGCAAAAAAAATGTGCTAAACATTCAAAATTTTTCGCTAAAATTAATTATTTTCATTTATTCGCAGCAATGAATCTTGACAATAAATCATCAATACCATAACAAATATTTACGTACATTGCATATAAAAGAAAGAAATTATTGAAAACAGAAAAAATATATACGTACATGCATATATATTTATCATTTCACTTTTTTGTTTTTCTTAATCTATACAAAAATTATTATTATTATTTTTGCTTTTTCTTTTTCCACTCGCCCCTAATACATGTAGAGCGCCTCCGATTCGATATTGGAGAAAACGAGAAATACCAATGCTGGCATACGCGCCAGTCCGTTGGCGGCAAATCACAACAATGGCAAGGCATCATCACCTACGCTCTCGGACAGCAGTAATGGTAGCAACAAAATCACTGGAGGTGTTGGCAGCGGCAGCACGAGTAATAATACAAGCAGCAACAGTATCAAAAGTAAAGCGGCGAGTTTGAGGTAAGTGTAGAGAAGACATTCATTTTTGTGGGGCAAAAAAAAAAAACTATAATAATAAAAAAATTTGAAAAATAAAAATAATAAAATAAATTAATAAAAATATAAAAAATTTACATAATAATAAATATTAAAAAAAAAGAATTAAAAAATAAAAATTATAAAAATAAAAATTTAAATTAAAAAAAATTAAAATCTAAAAAAACTGAAAGAAAAACTTAAAAAGAAATAAAAATAATAAAAAAAAATAAAAAAGATTAAAATAAAAAAAATATATAAATAAAAAAAATATAAAATAAAATAAAAAAAGAAATAAAATAAAAAAAAATTAAAAAAAAATATATAAAAATAAAAAAAATAAATAAAAAAATAAATAAAAAAAAAAAATATATAAAAAAATAAATCAAAAAAAAAATATATAAAAATAAAAAAGTAAAAATAAAAAAATAAAAATAAAAAAATAAAAATAAAAATAAAAATAAAAAAATAAAAATAAAAATAAAAATAAAAAAATAAAAATAAAAAAATAAAAATAAAAAAATAAAAATAAAAAAATAAAAATAAAAAAATAAAAATAAAAAAATAAAAATAAAAAAATAAAAATAAAAAAATAGAAATAAAAAAAATAAAAATTAGAATGATAAAAATAAAAATTTAATATTAAAAAAATAAAAATGATAAAAATAAAAAAAAATAAATTTAAAAATATTAAAAAATAAAAAAATAATAAATTTAAAAATATTAAAAAATGAAAAAATATAAAAAATTAATATAAAAAAAATAAAAATGATAAAAATAAAAAAATAATAAATTTAAAAAAATTAAAAAATAAAAAAATATTAAAATATACCATAAAATTCACAAGTAATTAACAATAGGCATAATTTATTACAAGTATTTAACGAATATTATTTATTCAACTCTACTATAAGTATCAAAATAGCTATTGCTAAGCAATGTAAATCTCTACACATCTGTATAATAGTAGTTATAAATATGACTTAATATATTATATACATATTATATTAAGAATAAACTTGTACATAAGCGCTCTGCATACCCATACATCTGTATATCTACGCCTCTAAACGTTAATTTTTTGCTGTCTTCGTTCGCTATTCACCTGCTTCGCTAGAAATATTTTTGTAAAATAAGCATACAAGTGCATATATATATATATACTATATGTACTGCATATAGCTTATCTTGGTTTAGCTTGGCTTGGCAGTTGCACTTAACACGCGTTTACATACATACATAGTTACATATAGACCACTGTAAACAAACTACATTTTTCCACACTCAAATGAATAACGCCTCAAATAGGTGGACAGCCTACTTACATATGCTATATATAATACATACATGCCGACATATAAACAAACCATCATACATACTTATCACACGTAACTTGCAGTCACCTGCTTGTCAATATTTATGTCACGCGCAGCTTTTCATAGTTTATTATCTTCAAGCTCTTTATTTATATATTTTTTTCGTTTTTGTTTCACTCATCACAGATTCATAAAGCTTTTCAATCTTTATTTTATCACCAAAGCATCTTTGGTTTGCCATCTATCTTATTTTATCTCCTTTATTACAGCATTTATGCGCCTTCACATTCTCAACTTCACACATTTGCATTAGTGTGGAGTTTTTTATTTATATATATAAATTCTTTTTTGCTAATATTTTTCTTCTTCATTGATTGCGTGTACGTGTGTGGGATTTTTTGTTTATTTAACCACTTATATTACTATTTATTGAGTTTTTCATTAATAACTTGTCGAGAGAGTTTATTTTTATTTTTCTTCTTCATTTACATCCTACATCTTTATAATACAAAAAAAAATTAAATAAAAATCCAAATCGAAGAAATATTTGCCTAAATTTGTATTTAATCAATAAAAAGTACTAAAATTTTACTACGACTGTTATGTAAGCTGATTAACGAAAGAAAATAATACCAATTTAGTAAAAAAAATTTAATTTAACAGTAAAATATATATATATTTTTTTTAATTAAATAAAAATAATATACTGATGGGTATACCTGCCGTTCCATATAAATTTTTTACATGCTGGAACCATTCTTTGGTGTCGTACTGAAATCCAAAAAGTTATAAAAAATTAATTTAAATAAAAAATTAAGGGAATGTCAACCTCTCCGAGTGCATTTCGGACATGAAATAAAGGCTCCTCACAAAAAACCGTCAGCCGTTCGGAGGTTGCTTAGTATAAACTGTAGGTCCCTCTATTTGTTGGAAAAACATCAAGACGCAAAAACCAGAAATTGGAAAATCGCTTCAGCGATTACAAAGCGCCAATTATATATACACATAGAGGCATTCTTTTATAACTTTTGTGATTGGACCAGACTGAAAATCATTTGCATACCTTTCATGCACATGAAATGACATATTAACTGTGATCCACAGTATGTTAGTATCAGAAGAAGAAGAAATGATAAACCCACTAGAATTTATACTGAGGGGATCAGTATGACGAGTTGGGTTGATTTAGTCATGTTCATCTGCCGGCCTATCCGCCTGACTGTCTGTGCGTCTGTTTGAACGCAAACTACTAGTCGGTCAGTTTTTGAGATGTTTCAACCAAACTGGTATACAGATGCATTGGAATATTTTTAAAACGATCATTTGTTGGAACCAACCACAAGCATGTATACTAACGATTCTCCGCATTTGGCATTTTGGGTCATAAATTAATCAAAAAAGTATTTAAGAGCATTTACATATAAATATTGTCACCGAAAATCATCGAAATCGGCGGACTATATCTTATAGCCACCATATAACCGATATTTTCATATGTGGGGTTTTAGGCCACAAATGAGCCAAGAAGTCTTCCGCCAACCAATTTTTCAGATATGAGGTCAAGTAAAAAGTTCGTGCAGTCATTTTTTATTGAATTTTCAAAATATGATAACTTTGTGTACATTTGTCCGATTTAAGTCAAATATGCGCCGTTTTGGTCGTAAATTTGTCAATGAGATGCCAACTTCATTATACCCCTTTCGTAGAAGGCTGCATCCCTATTAGCAAAAAACTCGGAGAGCCAATTTTCACAGGCATCTCCTTAGGCCAACTTCTCCCTAATAACAGCGTTCATCATGGACAGGAAAAGATGGTAATCACTTGGTGCCAGGTCCGGACTATAATGTGGGTGCATAGGACCTCCCATCCGAGCTTCTGGCGCGTCACCAAAGACGTGTTTGGTCTGGCGTTGTCCATTTGTTGGCAGTAGAGGTCCGAATAGAGTCATATGGGGAGCAACTCGTAGTAGATGATTCCTTGCCAATCCCAACAAACACACAGCAAACCCTTCCTGGCCGTCAATGCGGTCTGTGCCGCTTTCCCGAACTTTGACCATGAGAGTTTGCGCTCGATGTTGTCGTAAGTAACCCATTTTTCATAGCCAGTCACAATCCGCTTCAGATACGGGTCTATTTTTTTGCGATTCAGCAGCGATTCGCAGATAGAAATTCGGTCGAACATGTTACTTTTGCGTTAGTTCGTGTGGCACTCAGCCGCTTTGGCTTGCTTTTTCGCCTTGATCGAAGAAAAATTGTAAAATATAGCGAATTTTTTCTCTGCTGGTGTCCATCTTTGACGAGCGCTCACAACGTACTGATTCAATCAATCGTAACACTAGTACTATGGACAATAACGTCATCTCTTAGATAAAAACCGAACGAACTTTTTACTTGACCTAATATTTAATTTTGAAATTAATGGAAGGTATATAGAAAGACTGCGTTGTAGGAACCGAAAATATATTGCCCAAATTGGGTTTCGGTGAATATTATGGGTGTGAGAATCCTTGGCCGGCAAATAAAAATCCAGTTAGCTTTGGTATAGTCTCGATTGTTGCGGAACTTCTTGGATTTTAGTCGCCTCCTAAACCACAGGGACACTAAAGACAGCACTTCTTTCATGTTTAATAAATTTTTAATTTAAAATAAAAGTAAATTGCGCCCAAAAACTCAGATTTATTCTCTCGAAAATGAAAAATATAACGTTCAATGACTTAAAAGACTGTCTCCATTCTGTATAGCTACAATTTAAAGTCAGCTTATAATGAGTTATCTGAATTCAAACAACGGCGTTAAAAAAAAAGAAAATATTAAAAATAGTACAAAAAATATATTTTTTATTATTATTTCTTTTAAATATTTTTTATTTTTTTCTATTTTTTTTTTAATTTATATTTTTTTCTATTTTTTTTATTTTCTATTTTTTTTTTATTTTATATTTTTTTTTTATTTTATATATTTTTCTATTTTTTTTTAATTTTTTTTTTTAAATTTTCAGTGCACGTTTAAAAAAATTATTAAAAAGAAACGAGCTAAAAAAGCTCCCAAAGTACTTTCCATTCAATTGTTTTTGAATACCACTCCTTAAGTATTATATATAAACTTTGTAATTAATTTATCAACAAATTTGCTTTCATTATTTATACTAATTTATTTTTCTTCATTTCCTTTAATTTCCTAATAAACATTAATATTTTTGTAAATTATTTTTATTTATTTACATATTTCTACATGTAAATTTTTATTACTTTCCTTTTGCTTATGCTTTTTTTGCGCATTTATAAATATACATACATATATTTTCTTTTTTGACAGTTTAACTTTAGGCAAATCAAATTCAAATGTTGTAAATAATAAAAGTAGTCTGTTTAATGCAAACTCTTCTTCTTCAATAAAAAACACTACTACTACTACTACTACATCAACAACAACAACAACAACCTCGTATAATCATAATTCGGCAAACAACAACAACATAACAAAAACCCACAACAACAACAACAACACAATCATAACAACAACAACAACAACAACCTCTAAAAACAATTTCAACTTCAAAAGCAGCCTGAATAGTACACTATCGAAAACAACAGCAATACAATTCCAACAGCAGCAGCAGCAACAACAAAAGCCCATATCACCAGCACTCAGCCGCGGCAGCATCCTACCGAACAAATCATCATTATTTGGCACGAATGGCATTGGTGGTTCTGCTGCAAATCTCAGCGTGTCGGGCAGCACCAATTCGCTATCCACACCACCACCACCACCACCACCAACAACAACAACAACAACAACAATATCTTCGCCAGCTAATAAATCGCCAACGCCAAGTGTTAAACCGGTGCCGAATCATGGCAAGCCGAATTTCGCACCCAAACCGCCAGGACTACAACAATTGGCGTTGGCGAGCAGTCAACGTACGACAGTGTCGCGCCATCATAGCATGAAATCGCCAAGGTATACTACAAGAAGCAACAAAACAGAAGAGTTTAAAAAATATTTAAAAAAGAAAAAAAGCTAAGTGATGATAGCGTGGAGTTTTTTGTAATTTTGTAAAGTTCAAATATTTGTGGGATTTTTTTTTTATTATATTGGGTAAAATTTGGAGCTCTCAAGCTTGCAATTCGGGCTGGGCTATTTTAATTGTAAAGTGTCAAAAAGTGTGGGTGATCAATTAACAAGCGGGGAATCGTTCATTAATTCATGTAATTAAATTTCATTCAAATTCATAATTGAGTAATAAGGTTCAAGTGGTAGAATGTGTTTAGTTCTAAAATATAAATATTTATATTTTTTAATCAAACTAAGTTGCTGCATATTATTGCATATACTGCATTTTTGCATGTAAATAATGTATAATATATATTTTTTTTTTGCTAAAAGTCTTGTATAGAATTTAGTTTAGTGGGTTTAGTACTGAGATATTACACCGAAACCACAGAAAAATCTATTCAACTGTATGCGCCTAAAAGTAGATATCAATTTCAGTTCACTCAAGACAGTTTTTATTTAAAGAATATCATTGTAAAGTAAGGTTGTTCACCAACATATGTACATGCAAATGTATGCATATGGTGTATATTCGAGCATTTATTGAGTTAGTTTATATGTTCTCACTGAAGTTATTTAAATGTCTATTAAAATTTTCGGAGTATATGTAAAAAGATATATGTATCTTCAGGTTTCATTTCAGTTCAACTTTTATTCATTCAAAATAATTAAAATAAAATAGCTCGTTTAGTTTATAAAGCGTATACATTTTAGTTGAAAGCACAGCCCACAATCAAAGTAACTGCTTTTAACTCAATATCTCATTTTAAAATTGATAAAAAAAATCATAAAAATCATTGCTGGATCATTTTGTGTTCAAGCAAAATTTTTTTATTGAAAAAAAGTAAAAAAAAAAAAGATGCATCATAGAAAGTATTGTCCGTCGAAAATTACTAATTTTCCCCATATTTTTACTAACTTTTCATTACCATTCAAATGGATCCACTCCTTTCTCTATTCAATCATCGTTTTCCATCGAAAAAGCCAGTAATCGGAAGAGTCCTGGTGTAGAGAATACGTCGGGTAAAAGTCAAAGCTGCCATTTCAGCGTTTTCAGGTAGTTTTTGAACGTTACAGTCATGTGAGGCCGAGCGTTGTCATGTTAAAAAATAACCTTGTCATGCCTTTCAGTCGTTCCTGTCTATTTTCCGCGCAATGCACGTGCCAAACGCAATAATTTTAGTCGATAACAAATTCACATCAATGGTTTTAGCCTGGTTTTAGCAAGTCTAACCTCCCGCTCTTTGTCTTTCGCGCTAAAATCACTCACCGCTTTTGAAGCGTTAAAGACAAATCTCCGCATGACTTATCGCTCAGCGCTGTTTCACCAGCCTTTAATTAGCCTCCGATGGCACCATGGATATTCGGCGTTGCCGTGGATGTCGATGATTGGCCGTGGTTCACATACGATCTCTTGCGCTTTGGGTTATCATAATGAATCCATTTTTCATCGCCGTTGACAATCCGATGCAAAAATGACTGCTTTTGGTGGCGTTGAAGCAACATTTCCGACATGCAGAATCGAAGTTCGACGGCTCTTGGCTTTAATTCATAAGGCACCCGATTTCCAAGCTTCTGGATGAATTCTAATGAATTTAATCGCCTGAAAACGATTGCTCGATCAACTCCTAATACTTTTGCAAGTTCTTCTGGCGTCGAGCTATGTCTGCAATTCTTCGTCTTGAAATTTTTTTTGGCTCTCCGGGTCGTTCTCCGTCGTCTAAGTCGAAATTGCCATTTTTAAACCATACAAGTCACCATAAACTTCCAGTAAAATACGATGGCTTTCAGAATCACTTTTCGTCATGCTAAAGTAATGAAGAAGAACTCCACGCAAAAACACTTTATCTGGTAGAAATTTCGACATTTTCAAATGAAAGAAACAAATTGCATCTACTGAAAACGACGCAAAATGACAGTAACTTTGAAATGAATATAACCACAGATGAGCACGACGAGATATAATACTAGTAGAGCCCTCTCTTAGAAACCCGCACGAATTAAGGCATACACCCAATAATATCTAAGAGCGGACCGATCCGGCTTTTCATTCGGTCAAAAACTTTTTACTGCTTTTATTACTTTTAGTGTTGTCTCTTTAAAAATATTTTATACGTACGAGGTGTGCTCAAAAAATATCGCGAATTTTGTGTTTTTTCAAAAATTATTTATTTATTCATGAATATCTATTTTGTCCCTTTCAAAGTAATCCCTATGAGATATTATACACTTGTGCCAACGGTTTTTCCAATCTTCGAAGCACTTCAAAAACTCATTTTTTTATCATGTTCAGCTCCTCTTGAGTTTAGGGAACAAGAAAAAGTCACAGGGGGCCAGATCTGGGGAATATGGTGGCTGCGGCAACATTAATGTGTTGTTTTTGGCCAAAAAGTGGCGCACAAGTAACGAAGTGTGAGCAGGGGCGTTATAGTGGTACAAAAGCCAATTTTTGTTCTTCCACAAATCCGTGCGTTCGTTCACATCTTCTCGGCCTTCTGCGAACATTTTGTACCACCGATAAACGTTGCTTCGGTCCAAGGTAGCTTCTCCGTATGCCACAATCAACATTCGGACTGCATCCGCGCACTTAATTTCGTTTTTCACGCAAAATTTGATACGGTTCTCTCATCCATTTTTTTAATAGGAAAAAATCGAAGACCATCCAAAACACGTGCAAGCAAAGCAGCTGTCAACAATTAAGTGAACATTCAAAATGGCCGAGCTTGTCGGCATAAGTGACAGATATGAGTACCAACATATCGCCACAAAAAAATCGAAGTTCGATTATACGTAATCCGCGAAAATTCAAAATTCGCGATACTTTTTGAACACACCTCGTATGTACATATATAGGCATTTATTTCATAAAAAATGCTGAGGCGCCTGAAAGTAACTTTATTTGTGTATGTACTTCTTTCATACTTCTTTTATGCATATTTTTTTTCGATAATATTTTTTCTATTTTTTTAATGTTTAATAATTATATTTTAATTAGAAAAATTTTAAAGAATAAGCAGAAACAAATATTAAAGTCTTTAAAATCCATTTAAATCAGATTGTTAACAAATCCAATAAAAAATTTGAATGAAATTACTTTATTTTTTATCATTAGAAAGCTTATGAAATTATGTTATTTTTAATTTTCAAAAAAAAATTTTCAAAAACGATGAAGGTCAGCAAATAAACTGAAAATTTATAGATTAGAAAAATAATTTTGAGCTTAAGAGTTGGGGGTAGTCAGAATTTTTTTTTTTTTGCTTTATTATTATTGTTATTTTTTTGTTATTATATATATATTATATTTTTAAAAGAAAAATTGAAATTTTGATCAAATTGGCTAAAAAAAAAATTTTTTTATTTGTTTATAAAAAAATCTTAATTTTGGTAAAAATTACTAAAAAAAAATTTGTTAAATAGTTGTGGGTGAAAAATAAATAAAAATCTTTCATCTTATACCTCGTGGATAGTATCTCAAAGATCTGTGTAAAATTTCATCCAGATCGGTTGAGTAGTAGTTTTCATGTACTTTTCATAACCGACACAGTTTCGAGAAACACGTATTTAAATCTTTGAGCAACAACCTAGTGACTTGGAGTGCGCACCTTCTCAAGGCTGTATCTTTTAAAAAAAATTTCGCAAAATTTGGTATATTATTCTCGAAATGTTGTAGAATAAAAACAAAAAAAAAAAAAACAATTCGATTTTATGAAGCTTTGAAACCTTGATAACCTCAATAAACTTAGTTACATATAATATATTTTTGAATGAGCCGAATTTTAAAAATTTTTTAATCTTATATTTTATTCTACTTCATTAATAGTAATTTAATTTTTCTTGAAAAAAATGTATTTTTGAAATCAAATCTTACAATTAAATAAGCACAAATGTTTTTAAATACAATTCTGAACTTCAAAAACTCAATATTGCCATGTTTTTAACTTTTTTTTAATTATTCGAGCTAAAAAAAAAATAATAATTCTATTTTTTCTGGTACAACTGGTTTTTCTAGAGAAAATTTGAATTTTAAAAACTCACTAATTTTCAATTTTCCAGCATTTTATTTTTAAATTAGTCGGTTTTTTTTTTAAATTTAGTTTTTTTTTACCTCTACTTCGTTAAAAGTGGGAGGAAAATGTAATTTTATATCCAAAATTAACGATTAAATAAGCACAAACGTTTTTATATACAATTTTGGACTTCAAAAACTCAATATTCTCATGTTTCTAACTTTTTTTCAATTATTCGAATTTAAAAAAAAAAACAACTAGTAATACTAGTTTTTCTGGTACAACTAATTTTTCTAGACGAAATTTGGATTTCAAAAACTCAATAATTTTCAATTTTCCAACATTTTTTTTTTTTTAAATTAGTCGGTTGTCAAAAAATTTTATTCTCATTTTCGATTACACTTCATTAATACGTGTGTTAATCAATTTTTTTGTATAGAAAAATGTATTTTTGAAGCCAAAATTAATAATTAAATTAAATAAGCCTTATATAAATTTAGATTTCAGAAACTCAATATTTTTTTATTTATAACCTTTTTTAATTAGCAGAATTAAAAAATTTAATTCTCTCTTTTCCCGGTACATTAATAGTAATCTAATTTTTCTACAGGAAATTTTGAGTTTCAATAATTTTTAATTTTTTTTGTTTTTTTTTATTAGTTTTTTTTATTATTTTTTTTTTCTTAAAATACATGAAATTTTTTTACGTTTATGTATTATTATTATTATAATTTTTTTTTTTTTTTTTTTTTTTTTTTTTTTTTTTTTTTTTTTTTTTTTTTTTTTTTTTTTTTGAAAAACTATGATTCAGAAACTTTCAGGAAGCATAACTGTATGACTAAAAAACACTATTTTGAAAATTAGTGTTTAGAAAAAAAAAAACAAAAAAACAGCAGTCAATCCACAGTACAAATAAATTTCATAAATGTAACTCATGAATAGCATTTAGTCATCGGCGAGCAGTTGTTAGTTATATAAAATACATAGACATATGTAGATATGTATTAAGTATTAGATATGTGACTAAAAGATGTTTCATCGGATTTGTAATATGAAAGTACTTTAGATTAAATCTGTTTTATTTATCACTCATCATTCCTTCTGTTCTCTGCTCCACAGATCACCGCCAATAGCAGCGCCAGGTGCGCCCGTTTTCCCGACTCAACAACACTTCGGCACAATGCGCACACCACTCGCTCAACTGTGTCAGTCGCAAGAAGCGATTAATAGCAGCGCCATGCGTCCAGCGCCAAATCCGCCAATTGGTAAGCATAATAAAAAGCCCACTAATATATATATATATATATATACATACGAGTATATGCTAATAAACTCTTTTCATACGAACAACACAGGTCGCCCCACAGTTGCACCACCCAAACCACCAACAGTTAAACCACCGCCACCACCAACACCAGCGCGCAGTGTTTCCAATTCAAATTTGAATAGTCTTTTGGGTCAAAATGCATCGATAACGAGCAATACGTCAACAGCAGCTTCCTATAGCGCTGTGAATACCGCACTTATCTCTTCCATAAATAACAGTAGCAATTACTCATCGCCACCCACTACGCAACCACCTTCCAATTCGTCTTCCTCCAGCAGTGTATCAGCGTTGCGTGATCAATTTCGGGGCGCAACAAATGCAACACCACCACCACCACCGCCGCCAACAGTGCCGCCACCATCCACTGCGGCGGCTAATATGAAGACGAAAAGCGCCGGTGGTGGTCAAGGTAGTCCCGGTAGTAGGCACTCGTCGTCGTCGTCGAGTCGTGAGAAGCCAATTAAACCAATCATATTGAATGGTGGTTCATTGAGTGCGCCACCATTGCCACCGCATCGGACTGTGCAAGCGCCACCGCCACCACTGCGTCAAACGAGTAATGTAAGTGTCATACCCTTTTGCATCCATCCTTCATCATTCCGCTTTGCAAGTGGCGAAATTGCTTGCTATTGCCGTGTGGCACTCAAAGTATTGTCCGCTTTTTGTTTTTGTTTGGATGTGTTTATGAATGTGCACGTGTTTTTTTTTTTTTTTTTTTTTGTACTTTTAGACTTTTGAAGTGAGCTGAGCTGAACATGTATCAAAATAAAGATGATAAAGAGCATGTAAATGCCGTTAGACAGCAACAGCCTCAAGTTCGTATAGGCATTTTCCGACATTTTACTGCAAGTCGCTTTAGCTTTGCTGAGAATAAACCCTTTCTTTGTCTCTCTTCTCAAATTTCACGCTCTCATATGCTGGGGTAGTTTGTCATATACCATTTATAGCGTTACAGTTTTACGATCCCGAAATTTCGGAATTCAAAACTGTTAACATATATACACATATTAACTCCGCATACAACTGCAATTGCCACAAAAATCCAGAGCCGCAACAAAATATTCAAAGCGCTAGCCGACAGCACCTTGAGTAAAGATAAAGAACCCCTACTGGCAACCTAAAAAGTAATTGGCCGGTCGGTCGTAAATTGTGCTGCACCGATCTGGCCACAGGGGACGAACGAGACGCAGTTAAAGAAACTACAGGCCTGCAAGAACACCGCCCTCAGGACTGATGTCGCCGGAGGATCTATGCTAGAGTTAAGGAGCATAATGCTTTGCTGTGCAAGCAATCAGGAAGGGAGTACTAGACTTAAAAGACACCACCCAGCAGCAGGACGGCGTACAGCGAGGTACTGAATGCCATTCACCAGGAGTCAGTTAACACACACACACAGTCACACTCCCTTCCTATGAATGGCGTACTCGAAGTTAAACCACCAATCATAGCAGACGAAGAGCTCGAGGGACCCGAGTAATACTGGCGTAACTCAGGTCTGGATCAAGTTAAACTCCTACTTACCCAAACTCGTCCTCAATATACCCAACGTATTTCCTGCATGTATAGAGTCCCCACACGATGCTTCCGGATGCTGATCCGAGCCCGTCGAAACAGCTCATCTGCACCTCCTGTTAGATGAACTCGGTGATTTAGATTGCTGAGCCTGTCTCTAAGCGGGGTTAGCAAAACGCTACAACAACAACAACAACAACAACAACATGATATTTGTAAAGGAATTCAAACAAACTTGGTATTAGCGACTGCGATAGCCGAGTGGTTAGCATTGCGTACTGCCACTCGAGAGGCCCAGATTCGAGGCCTAGTCCGACCAACATTTAAAAATTATAGAAAACTAATTAAAATAACTGTAACTTCCTCATAAAAATTCACAGCCGTTCGGAGGCGGTTTAGTATAAACTGGAGGCCCTATCATATGTTGGAAGAAACATTAAAATTGGAGGGTCAACTCGGCCTAATATCGTGTCAGCGGTTACAAACCGGCCGTTATAATATATATATAAAGCCCCCCTGCGGGTTAGGGGCTCAAGAATTTACCCGCGGTTAGGCATGCCTGTCGTAAGAGGCGACTAAAATCCAATAGCTCCCGCGACAGTCGGGTCTTTATACCGGAACGACCCGGATTTTTATGCGGCCAAGGACTGTCACTCCCGCAACATTCCCCAAAAAGTACTTTGGGGAATAATTTTGCGGTTACAACAACAACAACAACAACGTAAATATATAAAGTTTTTTATAATAGAACTTTTTTTTAACGTTCTCTGGAATGAATATAAATATCAGTGGATTATCTAATGTTAGTGGTACCAACCGAGCTTAGTCTTCCTTACTTGGCTTACTTTGTATAACCGTACATTAATGTGTGCAACATTTACTTGCCCAACTTTGTGCTTTAAAAAACACATATACGAACATCTGGGTGTAATTCATTCATATGTATGTATGTTTGTATGTACGCTTGTGGGTACATATAAACACGTCTATTTAACAGTCTTTTTACTGTACATATAGTATTTTCTTATGGCGTAGGTTGTGCATACTATTTTGCTCGTCCTGTCAGCTCAGTATACACAGCAGTGTCGTGTCCTGCATATATTCTCTACGAGCATATACGTTCTCTCTTTTGTTCTCTCTACCTCAAATTCGTACTCTTTTGGTAAATGCGAAAAGCGTCAGGTGGCTTTTATGGTGAATAATCACGTATATTTGTGTACAATGAATGAGCGAAAATGTTGAATGACGTGTGTGTGTGTGTGTGTGCGAGTGTGAGTGTGTATGTGTATTGGGAGAGTAATACATATAAACGTATTTATATATGTGTAGTTACACAAAAGTACTATAGCAAAACAAAATTAGTAGCAGCGTGAAATTCTTGCATTCACATAGACTAAAAACGCATAAAGCAGAAGTATACTTTTAGGCGCAGTAGCAAGAAAAAGTGAAAAATCACCATTTAATACAAATTATTATTAACTTTTTGTGTGCGAATGGGAAATTGAACAACATTTATGTGCATTTTACATTTAAAATTGGACAATTGGAAAAAAAAACTGCAGGCATAAATTGCAGTAAAAGAGACGCAGCGTAAAATATTCACAACAAATTTGCTTTTGCCCATTACACGAATGCTGCTCAACTACAAACGTGTTGTAATTATGCAATTTTATCAAGTGTTTACTACTTCTTTTATGTAATTTTGCTACTTTTTTACGTACGCTCGTTAGAATTTAGGGATTTTTGTATGTCATTGTTGTTGTTACATATTAAAGTAATTCAAGGTTAAAGCAACAACAACACGCGAATCGATGTGAAATCGAACTGCTGTTTTTGTGCTTTTTTTTAATGTGCTGTTCTATAGAAATTTGTATATATTTACTCAAAAAATAAGAAAGAAAAAAATATTAAAAATATTAAATACTTGTATTTTCAATAATAATTAATATCTTCTCTTCTCTCTCTCTCTTTCTCTGTATTTATTTCTTCATCCACATATCCACAGTCTGGCAATAACGTTGCACCCGTGCCGCCACAACGACACTCTTCCATACGCGCCAACGCACCTGTAACTCCACCAACAGCCAGCAGCAACAACAATATGCTTATGTTTGGCAACAATAGTAATTTAACGCACGCCAATTCAGTCAGCCGTTTGGTCAACGATTTGGAATCGAGATTTGTCTTCCATAATGTCACCGAATTCCCAAAACCGCCACCGTTTGTACCAATACCAAAAGTGTATACGGCCAAAGCGAATGGTATGTAAATGCCTCTACGTACATACATATGTATGGTTAGTTTGGCGAAGAAGCACTTGTGCGTTGAATGCAAGCGAATGTACAAGTCTAGTGCAAGCAAAGTAAACAAGAGAAAACAAAAACAAAAGAAATTAGTTGAATATAAAGGATATGAGCCAGCTGGCTGGATGTTTATGGCAGCCACAAAAATAGGCTTTTCTACATACATACATACTTACTTACTTTACATACAGTAAACAAAGCATGCATGCACAACAACAAAAAAAAATATATATATATATATTTAAATAAACACACAACTCTCAGTCAGTCAACGCGGGGGTCAAAATAATGGCCGTGAATTAAGATAATAATACATATATATATACATATATAATATATACGAGTATGTACGTACGTCTTAGTACTATAGTTTTAGTGCGTAGTATGTACTGTACTTCAGCATTACACTTTTTTTCATATTTTGCAAAAAAAAAATAATATTTTTTTAAATTTTACTTTAAATAAAGCAATTTAAATTACTTACATACATACATACCTATACATTGTATATGTTGGAATGCGTATTATGCGAATGCTGTGTGTAATGGAATGCGATTGAAAATAATTTTCTTTAATTAGAAATTAATATGAATTAATGTTTAATTAATGTATAATTAAAGTTCAAGATATGTATGAAATATTATTTAAAAAGAAAAAACGAAACAAAAAGAGAAAACATTTTATATGCGTTCTTTTCTAATGTAAATTATGTAGTTTTTTTTTATAATTAAAAATATGAAAATATGAAAATATATATGAATTAATGCGTAGAATATTTTAATTGTGAGTCTTATTATTAATCACTATATAAACTAAATATTTTTACTCAGTGATTTTTGCACGCAACTTTTGTAGCTTTTTTTTAATTTTTTTTTTTGAATTTACAGCAGTAATATTTAGTGGCAAAAGCTTTTTTAGAGATGTTGTTTTAAATAAACAAATTATTAGCGAGCAAATAAAAAACCATAAAAAAAATAAAACAAATAAAGATTTTTTGGAACATAAAAAAATAATATTTTTGAGTTTTTTCTCTGTTTAAAAAAAAAAAACAATTTTTCAATAATCGTCATTCATTAATAATTGCTTTTAAACAAAATCAACATGCAACAAAGCAGCTATTATTATAATTATTTGAATTTAGCATAAATTTTTTTAACGCTGCACATATTATTAAATTTGAACACGGTAGTCTTTTATACATCAATTTCTATATTTTTAAATAGTCACTGAATTGGAAAAAAAAATTTAAATGAGATGTATTAAATATTTTCTATAGTTTTTTAAATAAATTATAATTTAAAAGGGTAGTTGAGTGGCATAAACAGTTGGTGATGCGAGTGTGATGAAAATATTTATATAAAAAAAAAATAAAAAAAACTTAAACAAAACAACAAAAAATATATGAACTAAAGTGTATAGCAAAAAGAAAAATTATTAAAAATAAATGAAAATGAATGATGAATGAAAAATAAGGCACATTACAAAGCATAAATGTAGATAAAATAAAATTTCTTGCTTAAAATAAAAACCATTCAAAGTATGCACTTTAAAACTGAATACAAAAAGGGCTTGCATTTAAAAAAAAAGTTCTAATAAGTAAACTAAATTATTTTAAAGTGTCAAATTATATTATTTCATTGTTAAGAAGTAATTTGAAATAAAAAGAAAATAGTTGAACTTTGTCTTAATCGATATTCAAAAATGTTATATAATTTGTTTTCAAATAAATATTAATTTATTATTGCCCCACTCGTATCACACTGTTCTTGTTTCCAATCCTTTTTTTTACTAAATAAAGTATACATTTTTATACAGCTTTATACCTTTATGAAGATTATTACTTATAGTAACGTTTATTTTACTATTAATTTGTATACTAAATAAGTAAGAGTGTGTAAAAATCTAAAAAACATATACATATATAAAATTAATAGCAATAAATATGAAAAAAATAATAAATATAGTCTAAATAATTATACTAATTAAGCAATTTAGTCAATTAGCACTTTTTGGCATTTTCCACTTATAAATATACAAAAGAAAATTTATAATTTAACTAATTTTAATATAAAAAAAATATTAATTCTTTATACCAATCATCCTCATACATGCATACATACATACATAATTACATACACGCATTTTATTTTCTCGTCTAAAAGCTAAAATGCAAAAAAAAATATTTTATTTCAATAAAACACTTTTTTCAGCATGCAAATTTTTATGTAAAATTCTATTGTATTATGTATTATATAAACATAAGTACTACATGCTTTCTTTCTTTATTTACATAAATATAAACTTTTACATGTATGTATGTATTTATCTAATCTTTATTATTATTTTTTAGTAGTTTAACTTCGCTGTTTATTTCTTTAATAAATAAATAAAAAATGTATAAATGAAAATTTGTGAATAAAAATTAATCATTTCATTTAAATTACTACTTCATTTGTACTTTTCATTTGTCTTGCGTATGTTTTGGGTAGTTTTAATGAATTGGTTTGTTGTAATTTTGGCAGGAATTTTACGTGGAATGTTTTAAAATTCGTACACTTTTTTAGTAAACACATTTAATTTGTGTGAAAATTATTTTTTTTTTTGGGTATAAAAAATTAAATTTTGCATTCTTAATACCAGGACTATATTTTTCTCAGTTTAATTTGTACTTTCAGTATTTTTTATTCTAGACATTTGTAGACAATTATCAATTTCTCTAAATTCCAATTATAACACCAAAATTAAGTCGGAATGTGGCACTAAATAAAAATAAAGGTTACCTTCGCCCAATTGTTACATATTTAAATTCCCACATATAAAATATATGATGTAATGAGTTTCATACACTATACAGAGTTTCAATATTTAGACATTTAAACAAAAACCCGACTCAAAAACATTGAGGTTATAAAGTACAACGGATTCTAGTAAATTCGTTTTCGATTTGTATTACATAATGAAATTAATTTATTCTTATTACATTATTCTACAAATGTACATACACACATATATTCACTTTATCGACTTTAATGATGCATAGCATAGCGCATTTCTCATTAAAAAAAAAAAAATCACTATATAAAAAAACTCATTTTCTTTCAAAAAACAAATTCTCTGTCGTACAATTTAGCACCACTTCCAGGTAATATAACGAACAACAACAATGTGGATGGACAATCCGACAGCGTTACAGCAAACAACCCAGTTACAACAACAATGGGAGAATCAGCCGTGGCACGTAAACCGGCGCCACAGCCGCTATTTCCATTAGGTGTGAAAAAACATCGAGCACCGGCACCACCACCACAGGCAGGCGTAGCCGCAGCAACGGTATCTGTGATAAGACAATCGAGTTTCCTTTATGGCAGCGCAGGTGTAGGTGGCACGCTAGCGCAACACCAGCAGCAGCAACAACAGCAAGCACAGCAATGGTAAATGCGTAAATGCAGGGCAGTGAGTGAGTGAGTCTAGTGAATCAGAAAAAACGTGTGAAAAGTATTTTTGTCAAATACATAATTAAAATATATATATATATAGGCAAAGTATATAAATAAATAAATCAATATTTAGTAGTTAAAATATGTGTGTTCCACATGTGTATGCTCGAAAGTATTTTCATGTGCATACTTACGTGTATTGTATGTATGTATATAAACTTTAAAATTTCCTAAAATCATTTTTTTATTTCACACGTCATACATATGTACATATGTATGTCGAGATTATGTAATTATAGCAATTTGCAAATTAAAAGATGAACTTTGGAAATTCTAGCAATTTCCGTTTCCCTTTTGAAAATGTATTGGCCGCGTCGCTAAGGCAAAGAGAAAAGCACAGAGTGTACTGCATATTTCAAAAGTGAAAATACTTTCAATTAAATGAATGTTAAATAATTAAAAAACGTAAATAAATAAAAGAATACATAAATTCCAAACTAAATACCATTATCAAAAAAAAAAAAAAATCATGTACCAATACCATATTTATATATGTATGTATGAATAAAGACTTTCTTTACACATAATGCCTTCATGTTTGTATTGGGAAAAAAATTAAGAAAATTATGTATAAATTAAGAGAAAATTACTTCTAATGACTTAGAAAATTATTATTAAATAAAATTAACATTGGTAGAATGTTTGTTAAACAAAAATTTAAAATTTTGTAAAATGTTACTGTTTAATTATCTAATATATTTTGACTTTCCTTAGCATTTACCATGAACTACGAATATCCAGCGCAAAATGAATTGTGACAAAGAAATCAAATAAACCCCCATTAATCTTTTACCTAGGGAAAATTATAAATGAAAATAAACATACATATGTATGCGTATTACATATGTATGCGTATTATGTAAAATTTAAGAATGATATATGTATTTTTCATTTCTTCATGTAAGCAATATATATACATAAATCAAGTAGAGAATATTTTACACAAAATTACGAAAGCACTTACTGAATTTACTGGTATTTTTGAATAATAGACTGCAAGGTACTTGGCCTCTGGTGTTGAATTATCAAAGTGTTAAGGGTTACATATTAAAACAAATAGAAAATAATAATAAAAGTAAATAATATACATAGATAAAAATATAATTAAAACAAAAAGAATTTCAACTGGTTCAGCATTTAGAAATGTTATTACACGCATTTATCGGTTCTAATTTATATTTCTATCATAAAAATAAAAAAAAGTGTATTCGATATTGATTTCTTTGAAAATAGTTTTCTTTATTTATAATTTACTGTTTTGTTAGAATGGTTATACTAGAGGTCTAGATACCCGGGTAACGAACAATTCGAGCAACTCGCTATTCCCTTGATACTCGTTTATTCAGAGGATAGCATATTAACGTATCAAAAAATGCATTTTTTTCTTAAATCTATTCTAAAACTATCCTAGAATATGTCTTCAAAATTTCAGTGGCCAATTCGACATGATTTAGAAGCTAGAGCAGTTTTAATGTCCGAGCGTCGGACAGGTTCAAAAGCTCGGGCAAAAATTTGAAGCGCATTTTCTCGAGTTTTCAATTTTACAAAGTTTAGATAACGGTGCCCGTGAAAACAGAAAGGTATAATTTAGACAAAATTATTATTTAAACTTTTTTACTTCTTTTTCAAACTTTGAAAAAATTTGTAAATAAAGAACTTTACGTTACTTGTATTATTTTTCATTTTATCAATTTCATTCCAAGTTTATGCGTTTGTTACATTTTTTCCTCTTTGAATTAAAATAATATAATTAAAGTAAAATAGATTATTAAAAATAAAGTATGTTTAATTGATATCAAAACTTATATATGTGCGTGTGAGTGCATATTGAAATTGATAAGAATTTAAAATAAACAATAATTACTTGTTAGTGTTTTTTCATTACTACATACATGTATTTTATTCAAACTAATTTTTTAGTCATATGTTGTATTTGTTAAAGCATATTAATCACAAAAATCATAAAATAAACCTACATATATACAAACAGCATTGGAGTTTTTACTATAGTTTTTACTATACAAAAGAGGATGTAATATTTTGAAATCAAATTTCCAGATGAACTTTTATGAAATTGTCTAAATAAATTATTTTTTAGAAAATTAATTAAACAGCGGACACTGTTAATCCCGAAAAATTTATGTGAATAGCAGTGTTAATAATTAGAAAAGAAACTCTCAATACGGCATCACTATTTATTATCATTACTGCAACTGCTATTGTGAACGATCATTTATATTTGCAATTATCATCTCAACTGAAAATCAATTGTAAACAAATAGTTAGGAAAATTTTCAATAATGTTGACTTCTATGGTAAAAGAATATCAAGTAAAACAAGCCAAACGAAAACAAGAGCAAGGTACCAAATATATTACCATTTTGCATTATATTTTTACTATATATATTTGTAGAAATACGACGCAAAGATGTCATTGAGTCATCAAACGAACTGACACAGGCTATAGTGGACCACCTAAATGTTGGGTGAGGGCATAGTAGATATAAATTTAACTTGATAGTTAATTTAATCGTTCCAAATAGCGTTGCGCAGGCATATTTAAATCAAAAACGTTTGGATGCGGAAGCAAAACAACTGCATGCGGGCGCTACTAACTTTGCTAAACAAACACAACAGTGGCTGCAATTGATCGATAATTTTAGTAGCGCATTGAAGGTAGGTCTTTTGACGTTTTTTTTTATAAATTACTTGTACATAGTACAATTTAATTACTAATTATTATTATAGGAATTAGGCGACGTGGAGAATTGGGCGCGTAGCATAGAAAGTGACATGCAAGTTATACAAAGTACATTGGAGATAGCTTATAAGACTTCACGGCAAACACAACAGCATAATGCTGGCAACTGATTCCATTCAACACATGTATGTGTGAAGTAAATAAATATTGCCTAATTTCTATATAAATAATGTAAATGTTTTGTTTTGTAGTAGTAAAAACCGACTGTCCAAAAACGCTGCTCATGGCAAAATATCGCTCTGGATTATGGTAACTTCGAATGTATGCGTATTTTCTTCACTTGATAGCACCTAACAACTCCTTTGGTTAAATTCAAAGACTCAGCAATCGTTTGTTGGTTTTCTTTTTATTCAATTTGTATTAGTAAACATTAAAACTAATTAAAAGTACAAGTAAACAAAAAGTTGAAGTCTCGCATTTTCTTTATAATATATAAAAATAATTGCGAAAGATCTCCACCACAGTTATTTTATATTATGTATAATGGTCAAGCATACATATTTTTAAATAAATAAAAGTTATTCAATACAAGTGTTGTTGCATCAAAACATATCCTGTTGCCAATATTAATGCTTCTGTTTTCATGAATTGGTGAAACTGCAATGCTCCACTCTTTAAAGTGTATAAAAGAGTAAACATAGAAAGTACATTACAAATGCTTGGTGGTCCGCAAATAATATGAGTTAAGTAATAATCATAAGAAAAATGTTGGTAATAATAATATTGTTAATTGAGAAGTGAATAAGTTGTATTTAAATCACCAAAAAAAAAGTCTGAAAATGACAGATTTTAGCGAAATAATTACATATTTGATTATTCGCGCTGTATACGAATTCAAATGTGGCAAATTTAAATATATCTAAATTACAAATTGGTTCCATTCTTAGCAGAATTGGCGGTTAAGACACATTGCTTTAAAACTTGGTTAGTGTTTTTGAATGGGTTAAATGAAAATGCTTACTAAACATTGACAATATGGTTGAAACGCAAGAGCAGTTCTCTCTTAGAACACACTTTAATTCAAGTACATAACTGTATAATGTAGTGCTGCTGATATTTCTTAAATGATTCGATAGCTTGTGTTTTGAAAAATATTTATGTTGTGAGTTGATATAAATTTTAAAATGTAGACTATTATTGTAGTTATTTTCCTTTTTTTATTAGAATTTTTGGCGAATCAACATCTATGGACTAACGTACGTGTGTTTGTTTGTTTGCTTTTAGTTTATGCGCGATCAGTTTTTTTTTTTTTTGTTTACATGGAACAGTTCTAATAACGTGCACGCCCTAGAATATAATAAAAAAAATAAACAATTATAATGCATTAAAGATTACACCGAAACGAATTTGGTCTACTTACGTGGCGAATAGGAACGACTACGGCTTCGATCATATCGACGCCTACGATCGTTACGATAATTGTTACGATTCTTAAAGGGTGAACCTGAACGACGGCGGGGACGGTAGTCATCGCGATAACGATCATTATATTCACGTTCACGCCTTAGGAAATATAGGAGAGTATATTTAAAGTTAAAATTAGTGAAAACAATTTAAATCTCATGCACATGCGAAGTATACCTTGTGTGTCGTCCCATATAAACGCCAGGTGTGGGAGTGTGTGGTCTCTGTGTAGTTGAGTAATCTACGCGTATGCGTCGATCATCGATTTCCATGCCGGAACATGCGTCCTTGGCTGCCTTAGCATCAGCTATATCATCATAATAGATAAAGCAAAAGCCACGAGATCGGCCAGTCTGAAAAAAGAAAAAAATAGAGAAATTAGTTAGTGATATAAAACGGGATATTTGATATTTGAACACAATAATATATTTTTTAATGTATGGGAGAGCCTTTAGTATATGCACACAAGTGTCTCTGGCGCGCCACTCATTTTCTCCAACAGAAAGTGAAATTTTTTGTTGCCATTTTTCATACAATGTACAAAATTCTATATCGTAAATGCTTGATATTGAAAAAATGGCACATTCAATTGCAGTGGAGTTTATAATATATCTAATGCGCTCGCTACTCACCTGTGCATCAATGACTACTTGTATCCTCTCGATTGGTCCAAATCTAGAGAATATATCACGTATTTTTTGTTGCGTTGTATAAACACTCAAACCAAAAACTCCTATACAACGGTTTTGTACTGGTTTTTCCTATTAGCAAAGGATCAAAAATGAACATTTGTACATTAATTAGACATAATATCCTTTGTAATATATTTGTGTACTTACTCTATTGCCGCGTCGCTTATCGTATGGACTGCGAGAACGGGAACGTGACATCCGACGGCCTTGCCGTGGTGATAGTGACCTTTTTTTTTATGTGAAAGAGGAAAAAGATCAAAATATGAATGAGAGTAATGCATTTCCAAAGGTAGATATGTTTTGATTTCTGTATTCATCTTAAGGTTTTCACATATGCGTATGCCTGCGCCCGTTAAAATTCTTTTTGTAAATATATTTCGAAGTTCAGCTTGAGTGAGTGAGTTCTGAAGTGTGCTGCAATTTGCTAAACTTGCTTGTTCGAACTAAGTCTTGATAGTATATACATGCATAGACATATAGTTTGCTTTGAAAAGAGGTACCTTGAATTGAGTATGTTCGGGAGAAACGCATGTAAGAATTTTCTAAAACTGGCATTATAATATTTGTTTGAAATCAGTAGATTCATTAATTGACAATTTCTGCAGTTCAATTCAATGCTATCTTACTTTGTAATAACGCTTTTCATTTTTTGTCTCATAAAATTTGTGTTAGAATTTCAATTATGCTGAAACGGGAAAAATAACCACCACGTTAGGCAGAATTTATTTTATTAATGCACAGCTTAAAATAATTTTCAATTCCCAGCTAACGATATTACTAAGTAAACCACATAGTATATAGTAGGTATATAGTCATACTTGAAAAAAACCATAATTCGTAATTTACTGGTTTACATTACAATTAGAAGTAAGGAAAAGGCGCCCAGATTCAATAATAATATAAGCGACGGACCGTGCGTCAACAACGGCCTCACGCGCCCATAAAAACACACCTCAGTTAAACGAAGAAAAAAAAAAAAATATTGGTTGTCATGACGACTGTTCAGATAAAGGGAATTTTCAAATTTAAATGTTAAAAGTAAACTGCACCTATCACTTACGTTGAAGAACTTTGGCTGGCATCTGAACAGCGAACACCACCACGTCCTGTAGGCGGTGGCGGTGGTGAAGGCGGGTGTCGTGAAATTGAACGGCTGCGAGATTTATAAACCTTTTCTCTGGAATGCCGGCTACGAAGAAAATATTATAATTAATTGTATTATTGTGTTTACAGGGCGCAAAAATAATGATTACCGGCGTCCATTGCTGCGTCGAGCAGGCGACTTGGTATAACTGCGACGTGCGGAAATGCTTCGGCTACGTGAACGTGGACTCTACAATAAAACAACATATACATTTGTTAGATTCTTTATATAGTAACTAAAATAGTATTCTCAACTATGTGGAAATCATATGTAAGTGAGGTTATGTTTAGGACTAATGATTTAGAGATTTTAGTAGCTTATAAAAATATTTCACTTTATTATACGTTTTATGGTTTTAATTTTTGCGTCATCTAATTATAATTACAACCTATGTGTATAATGGATAACTACTAAACCTAATATCACGCTCATTCATTCGAGCGCCATCTGCGCCGCGAATACTGCGTACCACATTGAAATATCAGCTATTTATATCACTACACTTACCATTCCAGCTTTTCTATGTTATTTATATATTAATTTTCTACTTATTAAACGTTGTAAACTAACAGCAATAATTTTTCTCAATTTTTCACAAGCTACCGCTGATTGAAATAAAAATGCCCGCTTGCTGTGTGTGTTGAGAAATCACAATAATAATTATTTTTCTCGAATCACTATTCACGATGGTTGCGAAGGGTTACCCATAGCAAAGAATACATATTAAAATACGTTATTTGTCAGAGTTAATAAAAATGGTATCTGCTTCATTTAAATTAAAAAAAGCCAACAAAAATATAAACAAACAACTTTATTTTGTCACGGCTTTTAAATTGGAGAAGGAAAATTCTTAAGTTAAGTTAAAAGAAAACAACCATTATTTTGAATAAAACAATGATATGTAAAAAAATCTTTTGTTCAAACTTATACAATATATCATGTATGTATATAACAAATGGCAGTTTAGATAATTTTTATTTACGGTTGCTCAATATACAATAACAAAATGGCTTCGAAATTATTTGAGCAGAAAATTTTCAAAATGCGTGTTTTAAAATGTTTATGTCAATTTCGATTGTCAAAGAGAGTGGGCACAAGCGAATGCAATCCACAGCCAAAATATAGAACCAAGTTTGTGGATATACGCGCGCGGCGCCGCTGGGTTTTTTGTGAGCTTTGCAAATTTATAAAGAGGTTTATATTACGATAATTTCTGTTACACGAATAAGTGTATTTAAGTGTTAAAAATATTATTAAAATTCAAGTTAAAAATCGAATAATAAAATAAAAGTGTAAAAGTGAAAAAACTTGAGATATATTCGCAACGATTTTTTGTACGTTTTCACTTTGGTATAGCATAAAAGTGCAGGCAGACAATAATGGCGTAAAGGTGGGAGATAAGAATTATATACAAAGCCATAAATTGTTTGATAATTGTGTATAAAAAATGGATGAAATCGAATACTTGGAGGAGTATGAAGATTTAATACTACCAAGTAAGTAGCAGTGAACTGACTATTTAACACAAGGAATTTATGTGGTGACGGCTTTTAATTTTTCGTCATTTGTACCTTCAGCAATGAGTGCTCAATCTGCGGCCACGAAAAACCGCAGCAAGAGTAATCTTGGAAGTATGCCTGACGATGAGGATTCTTCTTCTATAGATCAAGATATATTTGATAGTTTGTTTGATGATAACTCTGATGATGAGGCTTTGTTGCAGAAAAAAGGTACGTTGAGTGTGTACATACTAGTTTTTAATTATCCTTTTACTTTTGTGGTTTTTAAACTAACACATGTTTCTTAATTAGGCACTGCCAAGCTGAGTCAACGGAGTGAACGCAGTTCACGCATATCTATGGACTCGCTCGATATGCTTGTTAAAGAGCTAGGTAAAAATGTGTACACCATAATATAGTACGAATAAATATAAATAAATATACAAAAATATTATTTTAGGCGAGCCATTTAATCCACAAGTAGACGGAACTAAATCAGCAAATAAATCAGTACCTAAAACAAGCAATGTAAAAAGTACACCCAGCCAGATCAGCAAAACAGTACAAAAATGTATGCTAGCCATTTCAAATGAATAGCAATAATAAGGAAATATTTAATAATTTGCTTTGTAAAATATTTAGCTTAATAGGAGAAGGTTTATAACTATGTATCTACATATATATTTTTAACCCACTCCATCAAAGTGTATGCCCTTTAAAATAATTTACTTTGAAAAAAGTTTCTTAAAACTGATAATTATCATATACATATGTATAATCTCCGTAAGATATTTAAGTATAAAAATATTTTATTTAGAAAGCAAATTATTATATATCCTTATATTATTAATCAAATATTCGTGCATAATATTTATTTTAAAAAAATCCATTCTCAGTACCAACAACAACTACAAATACAAAAAGCTCTATCGCCACAACTTCAAGTGCAGTTAACATAAAAAACAGTAGCAAAACGGATTTGACATCAGCAACGACAACAAGCGCGATAGATCGTAATACCAAGGCTAAATCTGTCGCAACTGTACGACCAACGGTGCAACAAAATTTGACACAAGCAACAACATCCACCAAGGCAATACCTATACATTCAGTATGTCGTCGAACTGGCTGTGATTGTATTACCCATTGTATATTATATATATTTTTATTTTTTTTTTTCAGAATGATTCGGCTTCAAGTCGGAAGATACAGACTAGTAACAGTGGGGGCATACAAAATGCTAAAGTAACTAGTGGAAGCACAAATTCGGCTAAGGTTGCTTCTTCAGCACCCTCAACATCACGCAAACAAATTTCAACGGTTACTTCAACAACGGGAAGTGTTAAAAATTCAGCAACTACTGGTTATAATACAAATACAATACCGGGAAAGAGAATAATTGAGCGTTCGCAAACTACAATTATCAAACCGGAGAAACCACAGATTAAGGATCCAGCCGAAGATCCTTTGAGTGAGTCATATACATAAGTCAAATAAATTTAACTTAATTTATACGAATTGGAAGTGGCTGGCTATAATAAAGGCGACTTTTTTTTTTACTTTCCCTTTTTAACTTGCAACAAGTGTTTATAAACTTTTTTTTTTTTCTTACTTAAAAATTAATTTTTGTATTGTTTAACATTAGGTTTGGAAAACGTCGAGCGTGAAACCGATTCCGATTCAGATTCTTTTGATTATTCTGATATCTCAGCTGATTCATTCGTCTCACTTAGCGATTTGGAGGAAGATGAACGTCAAATTATAGAACTCTCCAATGACTCCAACTATGAGCGTCTTAATCTAGGTGAGTACATATTTTTAAACTATGTTATTTTCATGACCGACAAGTAAAATACACACAACAACCAAACCTACAGACAAAATTCGTGGGTCAACACCTTCACCCACAGTTTCTGACGATTTTAAAAGTGTTAAGGATGATTCACCTAATAAAAATTCACCTAAAAGTGATGGAAAAACTAAGGATGGCTCTGCGGCAGAAAGAAATGCAAAAACATTAACAAACGATCGCGTACGACACTATGTTGAAGGGCAAGAAGCGTCGACAAGTAGTCAACGAAAATCCTTCACACCGAATAAGACCTCGAAAGAAATATCAAAGAAGGTGAACATAAGTCCTGGGGCCAGTGATACATTACTGGATCGCATCGATACTATACTCTCTGGAGTAACCGAAAACACAGCTAAAGATGGTAATTTGCTTGTAGTTGAAAAGAAAAATGATGATGCCGTTATGGTTGATATGGATGCGAATGAAGTTACCACTAGTACCGTTGATGATACCAAAGAGAAGAGCGTGGAAACATCAGAAAATAGTGCCAAAGATTGTGTTAGTCAAGGCGACAATACTACTACTACAAATCAGGCCAAAGCAGATGCAAATCCAGGTGATCATCTTAAAACAAAAAATTACAAAGAATTACTAACCAATGCATTATCTTCCGCAGAGCCATCCGAAAGGGAAACAATGGAAACGGAAATGGAAATGGAAAAAATTATTAAAGAAGTTATTGAGCAAGAAGATATTGAAATGAGGGAAGAAGTAAAACAGCAAAATGAAGAAGAAATAAAAGATAATACAAAAGATAACGAAACGGAAAGCAAAATAACAGAAGAAGTGCAAGAATTTGTTCCTTCCGAGAAAACAGTTAGCGAAAGCATTCATGAATCGGGGTTGTTTACCGAAGTAGCCTCTCAACAAATTGTGGACACAGTGGAAAATATTGATACGGCAGAAATACTCGATATAAAACAAAGCAATGCGGTTCAAATTATAAGTGAGAAATTAGACAATTTAGTAGAGACAGAAGCCAAAGAAATTTTAGAAGCAGAAGGAGCGGAGAGAGTGGAAGCGAATACAGCTAATGATAATGACATTCTGTCGAATGAAAGCGAGAAAAGAAAGGATTTACAGGAAAATATTATAGGATCGGAAAATACAGAAGAAAATATTGAAAATCTTGCAGCTAAAAATAAGAACGCTCATATCGCCGAAAATATTGAAGCTTTAGCTAATGAGCTTGAGAGTAAATCAAAAGATACGGAAAGCTCGGACTATATTGAAAAGGAAACTGTTAACAAACAAAATGCGATAGAAAAAGTGAAAACACCCAGAAGGCAAAAAAAATTAGCACAAAGCTTGACACCTTCTAAAAGACGTACAGAAAAAATTCCAAGTCATACAGAGAGCTCAAAATATCAAACTGAGAAGATACAAGTCTATGCAGATAGCTCTAAAAACATAGAGGATCAACCTAATGAGAAACAGCGTGGAAATAGAAAAGGCTCACAGACTTCAATAAAAGCGATGTCAACACAGAGTAAATCTCAAAATTTGGAAAAACATATAAACACAGCTACTGATGTTCAAACTGAACATAATCGTACTGGTGCAAAGAACCAGCAACAACCAGCCGAGGATAAAACGGTTAACGGGCCGAAAGCGTTAAATGCTCAGAATGACGACATTAAAAAAGAGGATGAAAGATCGCACAATCACAGAAGTAATAAACCCAGCACGGAAAGCCATCTGAAGAAACTTGTTACAGAGTTGGTACCAGAAGATATTAAAAAGTCTGATTACGATAAGAATGTTGAACCAAAAAGAACTGAGAAAAAGAATGAACGAGATAGATCACAAACCTCGCACAGTGGCAATGTGCAAAATCCATCGGCTGAACTAAATATAGAAAAATCTCCAAGTGCAGTCGAGAAGGCAATTGAATGTGATAAAAACTCGATGATGGACGCCAACCTCGGCATGGAAGATCAGCCATCGGAAGCCAAGAACGAGGTTAACTTACTCAGTAAATCTTCCGAAAATAGCGAAACGAATGAAGATCAACTAAGTGATCCAATGACACCTAAACAAGATAAAAGAGTGCGTGGATTAGTAGTTTCTTTGAAAAAAACGGATTTATCAAAAATTTTAAATGATAAACTTTTTCGAAAAATAAGTAGGGAAACTATGGACGAAGCCTCAGCAGATGAGAGGGAGAGTGACACAAATGATGAGATATGCAAAGATGAACTAAATAATGAATCAGAAGAGCCACAAAAGTTAGCAGAGTCAACGGAGGCAACGGAGAAAACAACGATGCCCGCAGGAGACAGAGAGAAAAACGAGTTTGAAAGTGATATTGAAAACGTTGAAAAGCCCATATTTGAAACAACGAAAGACTTGAATGTTGAAAAAACCTTGGACACATCAAAGAAATGTTCAAAAGATGAGAATTCCCTAGATATTTTGAAAGTACCCTTCACTCCAGAAAGAACTAGGGATAGAAGTAAGAAGCATGGAAAATCTAAAAGCGCATCTAGAAGAGAACGTACTGTTGAAAAGCAAGTGGAGAACGCAAAAGATGATGTTAAACATGAAAAAACAGATGAGAAGCCTAAGGAGGATTTAAAAGATGAAAAAATTGCTGATATGGCAGGAAGTGACAGAAAAGAGGAAAAACCTACAGAGGTGTCAAAGAAATATTCTAAAGTCGATAAGTATACTGAGAAAGTAAAAAGACATTCAAAAGATGAAAAGACTAGTGAAAGAGATGTTTCAAGGCAAGAGGAGTCAGGAGACACTGCTAAGAAAGATTCCACAATTGAAAAGTCTGGAGAAACAGCTAAGAAAGATTCCAAAGATGAAATGTTTTTAGAAAAACCCGATAGGAACTCGAAAGAAACAAAATATACAGATAAAGAAAAGAAAGCCTCGAAAGATAAGAGCAGAGAAAGTTCCAGAGACTCCAGATCATCTCATAAATCGAAACGAGCTTCAAAAAATGATAGTCACTCAGAGAAAACAAAGACAGAATCAAAGAATGTAAAGTCTAAAGAAAAATTCAATAAAGATTCAAACGATATGAAGCTTGAAAAACTTGGAAATGCAGCGAAAGCCGAAAAATCCGTTGAGCCAATTGAGGGGGATTTAGAAAAATATGCAGATGAAACGAAGAGAACTTCAATCGATGAAAAATCTCTGGAGAAAGAAAAAAGTGAGAAATATAATATGAAGTGTGTTAAAATTACAGATAAATCTAGTCCACATAAATCTGTAGGAGAGGTAAAGAGAGATTCGAAAGATGTGAAATCTAGGGATAATGAAAAGAGAAATTCAAGAGATGAAAAGAGCGCATCGGACAAAAATTCGAGATCGAAAGATCACAAAGTTGCCGAAAAACCAGCACGTGATTCCAGAGAAGAGAAATATTCCAGGAGGGGAAGAATAGAAGAGAAAAAAGTGATTACGAAAGAGAAAGATCACAGTAATTTATCACAAAACAAGCAAAAAGATAATAAACTGTCATCATCACAAACGGACTTGTTGGAGGAGAAAAATATGAAAGAAAAGTCCAAAAAGGAAAGCAGAAAGCCAGCGAGGGAGAGTATTAAAAGGGATGATAAGAAAGCAAATGCCATTGCCGATATGCAAGAAAAACCAGCAGAGTCAACAATTAATAAAATTATGGCGAAAGATAGAGAAGACACAAACAGAGCGGATACACAGAAGGAAAGCTTACACGCCGCCTCGGATAAAGCTGAAAAAGAAAAAATAGGAAATAAAGAAGCCGAAAAAGTAGCAAAAACTGAAAACGAAACAACCACACCGGAAAGCTCAAGTAATTCTACAGAAAAGAACACTAAATCGGAAAACTCAGACAACTCTAATGCCGAAGCAATTGTCGCAAATGAAGCTGTTAGCGAAATTTCAAGTCCATACAAAATGCGTGAAAGAAGAACCGCTTGCAGGACACCAATGCCAAAACAAAGTTTAAATGAAAAGGTCCAAACTAAAATCCTTTCTGATGAGAACGCCATTGAGAGCACATCTAAAAACGCAGAGATTGAAAGTGCAAATAAAACAAAAGACGGTCAAATCAAAGGTGTAGAGAACTCAGATAAAAAGCACGAGACGAAAGAAACTATCAAAAATGCTGCCGAAATTTCATTAGAAAAATCCGGTAAAAAGGAGGATTCCGAAACGTTAAACAAAAGCAAATATGAAAGCTCAGCGGAAGCTCTACATGCTGCCGAAAGCCCAAAAACAATTTCAGAAAGCAAATTGATAGCAGAAGTACCAAGTGAGAGTACAAGAAGAACACGAAAAAGAAATGAGGCCAAACTAGGAGAGAAATGTGCAGATAAATCTCTAAACAAGTTAGAAAATGCAAAATCAGCCGAAGAAAGTAAACTTCAAGAGCTGGAGAGCAAATCGTATACTGAAGTAGTGCAAGAAGAGAACAATGAAAAGTCTGACGACGCGAATGGGAAAAGGCAAGTGCCAGAAAGAGACGATAAAAGTCTACAAAACGATGCTAGTGTAGAAATGTTAGAGGAATCTGCTGTATTGGAAACTGAGGAAGAGAACAAAAGCGTAAATAAAACGATTGAGGAATCTCCAAAAACTGATATTATACTCGAAGTAACAACTGAAAACTTAAATGAGAACGTGGATACTACAAACACAAATACTGGGAGGAAGGATACCACAATTGAAAATGAACAAGAAAAACAGGTTGCAGACATCAGTGAGCCAAGTAACAGTGATAAAGGTGTTGGAAAGAATGCAGAAAGCGTTGGCAAAAAAGAAACCGAAAACATAACTGCAAAAAACACAACAACAACAAAAGATTCGGAACCTGGTAGCAGTGGCAATTATAATCCTAGATCTCATCGTAGTAGACACATTCGTTCAAATGCGGATCTAGAGATAGCAGCACAACTGTCGGTTGCATCGACTGACGACGAAGATCATGAAGGTCTGACGCGTCGCTCGATGCGGAAACGTGGTACCGAACAGTCGCCAAGCAACAAAAATGGTTAATATAATTAGAACAGTTTTTAAATTATTTAATTTTCATTAATTACACATTTTTTTCTTTATTTTTTTATGCTTACAGAACTTAAGAAGAAAAGTTTTAGAAGTGCAACAAATCAAACACCAACAAATCTTATACAAAAACAATTAAAAGAACAAGCGAACACCAGCAACAGGAGTCATGCAGCGACCCCAACAACGGTAATGGCACGAAAACGCGTGCGGGATACGTCAGCTGAATTAAATGGTAAGTTGTGTAAATCTCGTTGATTTACTTCGGCTTTTGAAAAGCTTTATTACATTTTTTTTTTTGCTTTTATAGAAACGGAAAAGACGCTGGGCAAAAAGACAAAGTTGGACACTGTACGCAAATCCAGTGAGTAAAGGATTTTCTATATTTAAAATTTCTATATCTCATTTGCATTTGTACATCTCATTTCCCCACAGCACGCATACACAATGAAGAGATAGACACCAGTGAAGGTGAGCTTGACACTTCCACGGCACAACGTCGCGCTAAACAAACTAACGCAAAAGAAAGTCAACCAAATAGAAGTGTACAAGAGAAACCAACAAAATCTGCGGCAAACAAAGAAAGCAAAGTGAATAGGAGTGCACAAGAGGGTGCAGCTGGTGCGTTCAGCAAATCACAGCAAACTGCAAAACAAAACACTAGTGGTGAAGCTAAGACAATAACAACTGCACAAAACACAAATTTACCCAAAAAATCAGCTAATACAAGTATTATTAGCACTAGCAAAGTGGAATCTGAGCCAGCTCAAGGTAAACAACAACAAAAACCAATTTCTAAGACACCAATTAGACAGTCATCGTCCACCAACTTCTCATCTGCTGCTCGTATTGAAGCAAAGGCTGATAAGGTGCCGCCAGTTGGCAGCACTGCCGATCCACTTCAACTGCCGGTTAAACGCTTAAGACGTTTGCAAGCAATCGATGGTATTGATCAGGCAAATGTTGTGGATGATGAAATGTCTAAACGGAAAGCACTGCGTGCTACACCCCAAACTGAGGGAACAAAGTCAGCCGAAACACAAAAGGTTGCAGCCAAATCAACACAACATCAGCATCATCACCAACAACAACAACAACAGCAACAAAAGTTATTAAGCAAAGTGACAGACAGTAATGTGGTGGCAAGTAAAACTGCAACGGGCAAGTCTCCAACAAAATCGCCCGCTTCGAAAGTAATCACTTTTAAAGAGTGGCTGGAACAACAGAAAAAGCGGAAAGATGCGCCCGTTGTTGATGCACAACCCACAATCAGTGGGAGTGCTAATAAAGTGAACACAGTTGCAACTGCAACAATGGCAGATAAGCCTTCAGCGCATACATCAACTGCCAATGAAGTGCCCTTACTGGCTGTTCAGACAACCAAAGAGTCGGAAAACGTTAGAACTCCAGCAGAAGAGAGTCTGGCCGAAGAGAGTGTGACTAAAGAGCAAAACTTGAATGCAATTGTGCGCGATGTAAGAGACACAGTTAAACGAAAGAGGGAAGTTGCCTCATCTGTCAGTAAGGCTAAGAGTGAGGTACAAGCAGCAGCAACAACAGCAGCAAAACATGTAACACCAACTACAAAGGAAACAACACCAGATGTAAAGCAATCTACATACGCTAACAAGCAAATAACATCTGTTGCTAAAGAAACAATGTTGGCTGCAAGAGAAACCATACCCACTGAAAATCAACAAATACTTGCGGCAAAAGAAACAACAACCACTTTTGAGGATGCGAAACCCCCTACGAAGCAAAGACGTATCGAACAATTACCAACACCATCGACACCCAGGCCCACACAAAGCCAATTTAAGCGGCCTTCATTGCCGCAAAGAACATCACGGTTAACGCCTGCTCGTCTCAACAAAACCGCAACATCGACAGATCAACGCCTGATCTTGAGCAACAAGCAATATAATGAAAAGGTAAAGTATTATTTATTCAGCCGTACATTATACGTTAATATTTCGATTTTTTTAACCATCAATGCAACTTTCTTTTTACAGCAAGCAACACTTCATAAATTAGATACGAAATTTAAGCTGCGTAAATTGCGCGTGCGCATTAATCGTTCAACAGTTGCTGCATATTACAAAAAATTGAGTTTAAATAAAGCTAAAGACACAGGTAAAAATATCACAGCTTTACTGAGTTTTGAATAAAAATTTATATATATATATATTTTTTTTTTCTTTCTCAATGAAAGGTATGCAAAAAATGTTAACACCTTCGCGTATGCTTCCACATATAAAGGCTGGCAATGTGGCTTTAGCAAGTGAAACAATTTCGATTTCAAAAAAGCGCGTCGTACTGAAACAACAACATTTGGCAACAGCTGGAACACCGAAATTGCCGCCCCTTACCGCGCGTCCAACCGTTCTGGCAGCGCCTGAGACCAGTGATGCAACAAAACTGACAGCAGCGATGCCAACATTGACTAAAGTGCCGGCAAGTGCGTCTGAAAAATGTAAGTAAAATAAATATACTTGATTATTACCCACACATCATTCGATTATTTACGTGTACATGAAAACTTTAAGTTCCCAATTGTTTAATATTCCCTTTGTTTCATCAAACCCTTTTATATGCTCTTTCATTGATTTTCCTACCCCAATTAGCTCAAAATGATCGACTACATCTTTCACAAGCCGACATGCAATTTGGCTCCCCAGAAGAGCTCTCTCTGTTGACCCCAATGAAGAGTGCAAATGTAGTACCAGCGACAAGCAGCCCACGAGTACAACATAAAGCGACAACTAACGAAGGTTTGCGTGAACAACGTACCAGCACTACAAGTAGTTCTGATGCTAGCACCATCACACGCGCACAGTTAACGGGCAAACAAGCAGTTAGCCAGACTAATACAAGCAACTCGGGCATAACTAAGGGCCATCAAGTGCCATTCACGCCAATTGTGCCCAAGGAAGAGGTGGTAGACGAACACCAAACGTCAACACAACTTGCATCATCACGCAACTCATCAGCTACAACGTTGGATACAACCAATTCGTTAGCTTCACGAACTTTAGCTATAGCTGCCGCAACCAATTCAGCGCTTAACCAATCCTCTTCGGCCGATGCAAGCGGCTATTATGGTCTTACGCCCACATCATTGGACTCGAATGGTACACGTTTGTACTCATTCTTGCATCCAGCTAAATATAATCGTAATCACGGTTGTGTATTACTCGATTACTGTTGCCCCAACCTAGACGGCCCGATGCCAGCTATTGACCCAACACGCATACATGCACAAGTACAGGCCGGTGTACGCGAGCTACCAGCTTATATAGTGATGACAACGAAACTTATTACACGTGCTGATTTGGAGGCCAACAAGAATGTTATACCAGCGTCTATACGACAAAAAGTAGAGAAGATTACAGCTGATGCTTCGAACTCTGCGGCAAATCAATCAAATTCGGCTGTAACTAGTGGTACACCAAATGTACCGGTAACCATGCCACCGGCAACTGCGCCGGTGCCGGTTACAAATGCTACATTAACGCCAACCATAACGGCATTGCAAAAACATTTGCCATCAACAACAATAATAACACCCAAATTAATGCCACCAGCATCAACGTCAACAATGGCATCCCAACAACTGCAACAACTAACACCACACAATGCATTAAATAACAGCTCACAAAGTAGCACAGCACCAGCATCTCACATTCTCAACGTATCCGATTATCAGCGTTCTTTGCTGCGTAGTAGCGTACGTCTATTCGATGCACGTCTCAAAAAATACTACTATCGCGTTGCACTGCTCTCGTTCTCCGATCGGCAGGCGATTATTGATGGCATAATCAATTCGACAACGCTCACACCCAAAGATGTCGACTGTGCTGTACGTTTGCTCGACGAGTATGCAGCACAAATTACTGGCTTGCCAGCAGCGAATGCAGCCAACAAATCCAATAATAACTCTGCACAAGCAATACAATCTGTATCTAATGCAATTACAACATCAACGACACAAACTTTGGCACGTACAACCACCATACAGCAGCAGCAAAAACAAAACCAATACAATATGAATGAAATAGCTGTAATTGATAAGGATAATAGTCTTTTGGGTTACCACATGACATCTTCGTCCATGGCTATGAGCAAATCAACCATTTCCACACGATCTAGCATCATGTCGACCTCAGTAACTGGCGTAAAGAATATGACATTGCCCAATATGGCAACTACATCGAGTGGTGGTATACAACCTATGAAGACAGCACAAGAATCACCACGAATTTTCTACACAAAACCACCAATTCAAACGTCCACACCAATCGCGGCAACCACAAGCGGTAGCGGTACGCCACAGAGTGATGGCAAAACGGTTTCGCTAAGGAGCACACAACGCTTGTGTCGTGAGGTGACCATACGGCAGGTGAGCAACTAACACTAATGTATATATGTAGTTTAATATGATTTTTTGGCTATTGGCATGCATATTGCGAACAAATTCTCTGCGTACTTGATGCTACGGTAGTAACTCAGTTTGTGTTGTGCGCAGAAAGGACTTCATTTCATGGTGGCGTCTCTCACTAAATCACCTCAGACATCTGCATTTTCTAAGTTTTGCTCTTCTTATTAGTCCAAATGTTGTTGTTGTTATTATTGTTGTAGCGGTTCACAAATCCTGCTTAGCGACAGGTTTTATCAATCTTAAGTCGCCGAAGTCATCTGATGGGAGGTCCAGGAACCGTTCTGTTTCGCCGGCATTGGACCAGAGGGAAAAGGGGGTTAGATGTGTCGGCTTAAGGGGGTATGCGAAGAGGTGGCTAGTGTTGTGCGGAGACTCTCGACTCTCCACAGGCAGGGTATTCGTAGGATATGCTGGGGTCGAGCCTAGATAGGTAGGAGTTTAGTCTGCTACAGTATCCAAACCTAAATTGTGCAGCTTCAACTTCTTTCTTTCTTTAACTCTCAAGACAGCCGGTTCTACGCACTGGAGTTGCCCCGAATTTTATCCAGTCAAGGGCTATCACCCCTTCGGCGATCTAACCCCGTTTAGGTCAAAAGGTAACAGCCAAAATAAATGCCACCACTGGCGGCCGCGATAGCCGCGTGGTTAGCATTGCGTACTGACATACGGAAGGCTAGAGCTTCGAGTCCAACATCCAAAAATTATAGACATCAAATAAATTTTTCTAAATGCGCTCGCCTTCGGCAGAGAATGTCAAAGCATCCGAGTGTATTTCTCAAAAGTTCTCCCATCAAGCATTCAGAGGCGGCCAGAATACTCGACATATACATACTAAGTCTTGCTGAAAATACTTGGGATTTCCCCCTTTGTACCATTGAGGTTAGACTTCAGTCGACGGCTTAGTTTTGAGGAAGTTATTAAATTCAAGTTCTTACAATACATTTTTTTTTTGGTGCGTTTTCAAGAATGTTACCCACATGCATTCTTAATACGTCACGTTGGGGTCTATAAAGGTCGGCAGTCTGCGGTCTTCAATGGAATATAATCAAGCATCGGCTTCAGCCTCGTTGCTGTGTTTTTTTTTTGCATTATATTGCAGTTCATATGCATTCGTTTAAGAGTTTCAAGTCGTATCACAAATTCAAATTCATTTTCAAATTACCGCTCATTTCCTGTTTAAACAAACTGTCATTGCAGTGAAGTAAACATTGTTTTTGCAAACTTCTAATCATCAATTCCAGATACCCAATAAACTCGGTTCCACATCCATGTCGAGCACATCGGCAACTGCTACTCCACCAAACACGCGACGCTTGCCAACATTGACGCGGAATCCACACTTGACGCCAGTCAACTCGTCGGGTGACAATAATAGTTCATCCGCTACCGAAACGATTACAACACGCTCGGCTGTCACCATATCAACAGCACCGAAACGTATGACACGTGCCTCGGCGGCGGCCAAAGTGATTGTGATAACCCAGAATAATGAGGATTCCTCGCCGCCCTTAGATGAGTGCATCCTGCCGGATGGACATAATAATCCTGAAATAAAACGTGAGCGGGTCGATGACGAATTTGTTGGTTAATTAAATTTAATTTTTTTTTTAATTTAATATACATACATACATACATATATATATCAAGATAAAGAGTAAAAATGATAAAATATTTATTATATAAGTGTAATATAAAATACAAACATACATACAATACATATATGATGGCTTCAGCTGGCCGATAGAAAGATATTTGGACAGTTGGGAGGTATTGTTTTACTAGTTGATAAGATTTAATTACAATTAATATGCTCAGCTCATCTTGAGTTCATCAAATGGATTACTACTATTTCAAAATGAAAACTAAAACGAAGAGAAAAACAAAATAAAGAGGTGTTGAAACATATTTCCCCATTACTCACACATACATACACGTACATATGTTAAATTATATATGCCTTAAATAATAATTTTATATAATAAATATCACACTACACAGAATCAGACAAACATACAACGCTACATAAAATCCATGTAAATAATGTCGTACTCTATATATGTATTTAAACAAACAAACAAACAAAACAACAACATCAACACGTAAACACCGAGTAAGTTAATAATTACTCTTTTAATTTTCAATGGAGTGGAGTAAGTCCACTGTTATATAAATTTATGAAGGAAAAGTACAGAAAAAAATTTATAGTTTCGAAAAATTAGATCTTGAAATACGTATGCGTACATACGTACAAACATATAATACATGCATTCAAAATACATATTATTTTCTGAGTAACCAAATTTGAAAAAATGTTTTTTTTTATTTTGGTTCCTGTGTGAATTCAGCCCTCCTCATGGTTTGTAAACGTCAAGCCACAGCTCTTAAGCACGCCTGCTCTACAGGGTTATCCATTTTGCGATTTCGACAATAAATGCAAATAAAATGCATTAAAATAATTTTTTTTCATGAAACTTTTTTTTATTCAAAAAGTTTGAACCTTGGCGTTATATGTGACAGGTCAAATGACCGCCTCGCGAATTTCCGCCAACTTCGTTCCGTTTGCGGTAATTTTCGATCACTTTTTGGCACATATTGGTCGTCATCTTGGTCATAACCTGACGAATCTAGCTTTTCAAGTGGTAAAGAGTTAAACATTTATCTTCTAACCAAGACGGTGTCAATTTCACGATCTTGGTGGTCAATTGACATCGCCAGACGTGAGATTTCTCTCGCCATAAAGCGGTCGCAGTAGCCGCGTTGTTAACATTGCGTACTATCATTCAGAAGGCCCGGACTTAAAGTTATAGACAATTAATTTAAATTTTCTAATTGCGGCCAGGGAATGTCCCACCCCTCCGAGTGTATTTCTGACATGAAAACCATCAGTCATTCGGAGGCGGCACCAAGTGGCGTTCTTCAATTGCAGGCCGAAAAAAGTCGACTATAATACGACCATAAGGCTCCAAACTGGCGTAGCGTGTCCATTGTCGTTTTCAAAGAGGTAAAGTCCAATTAAACCTTCGCAAAAAACCCAGACGGTGAGTTTTTTTGGGCGTAATGGTCTCTCTTCAATTATTTGAGGTCTCTCGGAGCCCCAATTGCGACAATTTTGCAAATTTACGTGCCTCGTCGTTAAAAAAATTTTGTTCGAAAAACCTCCATCCACTGTTTGTTTATTCCAGCATCCAATCGACGTGAGCTGGACTTTAAATGGATGTAGGCTCTTGAGAACTTCGAGAAATAGGTACAGTAGGGTTGTTGTTGTTGTAGCGGTTCACTAGCCCCGCTTAGGCACAGGTTTGATCAGTCTAAGTCGCCGAGGTCATCCAATGGTAGATCCAGGAAACGAGCTGTTTCGACGAGGTTGGACCAAAGGGAGAGGGGGGTTAGATGAGTTGGTTTAAGAAGACATGTGAACAGGTGGTTAGTGTCGTGCGGAGACTCTCCACATGCAGGGCATACGTTGGGTATGCTGGGTCTAGTCTGGGTAAGTAGGAGTTTAACCTGCTATAGTATCCAGACCTGAGTTGTGTCAGGGTCACGCGGGTCTCTCGAGCCAGCTCGAGCTCATTGTCTGCTATAGGTGGTGGTATTTCTCCGAATACGCCATTCACTGGAAGGGAGTCCTTGAAGGTGTTGACTGACTCCTGGTGAATGGCGTTCAGTGCTTGTCGGTATGCCGTCCTGTCCAGCGGTTGTTGTACATGTTTTTGGATTGTGTCCTTTAGGTCTAGTACTCTCTTTCTGATGTGCCTAGGTGGAAGAAAGTTCAGCTTCTATTAGGTGCCTACTGGGGTGCTCCCTGCGATAGCATCCCAATAGGAACTGCTTGCATAGCAAAGTATTATGCTCCTTAACTCGTATCATAGATGCTTCCCTGTGCAAGTGATGCTCCGGCGCCATTAAGAGGTTTCCTGTCGCGGTCCTGAGGGCGGTGTTCTGGCAAGCTTGTCACTTCTTCATCTGCGTCTCGTTCTTCCCCGGCGCCCAGATCGGTGCAGCATAGTTTACGACCGGTCGGCCAATTGCTTTATAAGTAGCCAGCAAAGTTTCCTTGTCTTTACCCAAGGTGCTGCCGGCTAGCGCTGTGAGTATTTTGTTGCGGCTCTGTAGTTTCGCGGCAATTGCGGTCGTATGCGGAGTGAAGGAGTGCAGGTTGACTAGGGTTACTCCCAATATTTTTTGGTAATTTACGTTCGGAATTTTTGTGTCATCGACCTTTACATCTAGTTCAAGCCTGTACTCCTTCGTCCAGCTGGTGAAGAGGGTAGCCGAGGATTTCGTTGGTTGAATTTGTAGCTGTATTGCAGTGAAGAAGTGGGAGAGATCAGTGAGGTAGCCGTTCACTTTCGAACAAAGCTCATCAATATCCTGGCCAGACGCCATTATCGTACAATCATCTGCATAAGAGGTTAGGGAAACTCCTTCTAGTGGTGGAGGGAGTTTCGAGATGAAAAAGTGAAACAGTAGCGGGGAGAGGACACCACCCTGCGGAACCTCCTGTACAGTCGGGTCTTCGGCCACATTTTCATTTACAGTACTGATATTCGAGGAGGAACGAGCAAACCGATAATGCACAGGTATTACAATATCTGTCACCGATTCAGTCTCTTCAAATTTGCTTAACATTTCACCGATTGCTTGAGACCACTTTCATAAATGCCTAGCTTTCAGCTAAACAAAACAAGTTTGGTTTAACAGTTAAGTTAGATATATGTCGAAATCCACCCCGAGTTGGCTAACCTTATATATTGGCCGCGCTGCTGGAGCTGAGTTGAGGTTGAACTGGCTGACTGGTTGAACCGAACAGTATTATGTCCATAGCGTTGCCGTACATACTACATACGAAGACAAAGCTGCACTGGAAACTCTTTATTTGGTCCCCAGTGTCAAGAACACTGCTGTAGCTTTCCAAAATTGAAGTAATAGTTTTGCCCCATGTCATTGTCCTTGTCCGATTGAACATCCTGCAGCTTTTCTAGGCCAAGTAAGTACGTGCCGCACTGTCCCTAAATATTAATTCTATCAGAGCTAGACTAAGGGCATTCGGAATCCGACCTCTTTACGGCTATTTTAAGCTTTGGTGATTTAGCATCAAAATTTTTACGTTTCTGCAGCCCTTATCTCGTTCCTAAAGTCTATTCGCTTGGCACGGCAAGATTATTTCATCAGTTTGATTCATTTACCTGAGGGGAACTCATATTATTACAGACTTATTCCTCAGCCCGTTCGTCAGCTATCTCATTGCCTTCGATGCCCATTAGACCTGGCACCCAGTATATGCAAATCCTTCTCTTTTCAGACAGCATTTTTATCGCCTCTTTACATAGTGCGTCCACATCCAACTTTATGCATGTGGCATGACCGCTTGCATATACATATAAATGTGTATTCTCTTCCTTTGAAGGCCTGCACCTTGCAGTTGCTCTCTCGCCACAGCTGGTTTGGCAGTTTAAAGACTTTCTTATTTATTGATGGTCGCAGTAAGTTCGTTTCGGAAATATTTAAAAAAAAAATTAAATCCTTTGTCTGCATAACTGAGACTTTTGCTTCACCCATTCGCGACTGTTTCAGCTGGCAACAGATTCCCGAAAGCCAAGCGCGGTAACGCTAGACAACTGTGCACGTATGTCCTAGTTCTCAGCTGCCTCGCAGCGTGTTCCCGGCTTTAGCTACAAGAATTGCTGATGGAATGCGACAAATTGCTACAGATGGAGTGCCTCGTTGAAAGTCTGAAGATCTCTCCAGCTTTCCCGGATATGTTATTTTGTTCATTGCCTGCCACAGAGCTAAGGGGAACGCCAATGATTTGTCAACTGAGGATGGAATCCACCACGTAATTTTTTTTTCGTTTCTTCGAGAACAATACAATACCTCTCATCGTATCACATGGCACGTGGGAATCGTGCGCTTTCTTAATGGGTCGACTTTATTTTTCTCCTCGAGATGAGCGATGACTCTTACGCACGCACTTCTGAATGGCTTACTTTTGAAAACTTTCGGGGACCTATCCTATTATTCATTATTGAGTTGGTGTAGTAGCAAAGAAGTCTCTAAAGACAAGGTTTTGTGTTGCATCGAACTGTGATCGAGAATGCTATGCTACACCTTTCGGATGTATGACAGCTTGATAACATCTCGTCGCATTGCCACTAAGATCCTGAACCACAATGAAGGCATGTGTGTTGGGCAGCGAGGTTAGCACCAGGAGCGCACTCCCATGTGTCAGAGATTAACTTTAGTTCTAAAGTAGTAAAGAAATAGAACAACACGAACCTTCAGCGATATCGAGCCTTTCAACGCGTCCAAAAGAGCATCGAGTGACCATATCAGGAATCGCTGTTATTGCTCAACATTGGTCCTCTCGATCTCAGTGTACTTGACTTTTATTACATCATATTAAAGCGTAGTTGATGCTGCTCAGCTTCCATTTGCGGCAGAGGATTCCACGGTGGGTATTGGTATGGTTGTTTCTATTTCTATGCTAATTTTCAGTATTATTTGGACTATTTTGAAGAGACGAGGTGGGCGATCGAAACGCTTAACAAGGAGCTCCTAGTTTTAGTAAGTATCAGGTGTACAAATTTGCTTCCGCTAGCGACAACTTTCTCCCATCTTTCCGGCAGTTTTCGGATCCCGGCTCGAAAAAAGGAGACCTCTTTTGACGCTATCCATGAAGCAATCCATTTTTCCAATTCTTCGAAGGATTGAAAATGTTGATCTGCCAGGCCGTGTGCCATCGAACGGAATACGTGGAAGTCAGAAGGGTCGACATCTGGGGAATACGGCGGGTGGGTCAAGACTTCCCATTTCAGCATTTCCAGGTACTTTTTGACCACTTTTGCGACGTGAGGCCGAGCATTGTCGTGTTGGAGGATGACTTTGTCATGTCGCTCTTGATATTGTGACCGCTTTTCTTTTAGCGCGCGACTAAGGCGCATCAGTTGCGTTCGGTAGCGATCTCCTGTGATGGTTTCACCCGGTTTTAAGAGCTCGTAGTAAATCACACCGAGCTGATCCCACCAAATACAAATCTTAACCTTGACGCCGTGAATATTCGGTTTTGTCTTCGACGAAGAAGCATGCACGGGCTTTCCGCATGATTTTCTGCGTTTAGGATTATCGTATCGAACCCACTTTTCATCACCGGTTACGATTCGATGTAAAAACCCCTTACGAAAAAATAGTAGGAGATTTTTGTGAAAAATGTCTGTCTGTTCCACAAATTATTTAGAAAACATTTTCTTATAGCCAAAATAGTCTTTCCGAGCTTGACACCAAATATGGTTGGTCAATGGATTTGCAATGCATATACAACAAAATGGCTTTCCCACTTCTTTAGGACTAGCTCTACGTTTTCGTGACTGTACTTCCAACATTTCGTGTCAAAGCTGCCAACATAGAGGAAACCATCAAGCATTTTTTTCAATTAGATTTACCCATCAAAAACTCCGGCAACTACATAAAAATGTCATGGCATCTGGCCTTCATTATTTTCCATCTCATTCGCACCATCAACGAGCATGCGCAATGTTTACGCCAAAATCACGCCACTTTTCAAAAATGTCAAATCTCATATATAAAAAATAAGCAAAATATTTGTTGCATTTGTTGTTGTACACACACCATGTCAAAAAGGTTATTTTGAGCGCTCGCCCTCAATTCAATGTTACCGGATAATTGAAAAATTAAGAACCTTATAATGAAAATGTTTTTGTAGAGGTGTGATGCATTAAAAAAAGGCCTTATTTATAATGAAATATTTGTGTATTTAAGTTCCAATGCCTGCCTGTATATTTCTGCGCAATACCCTCACCAATCCAATAAGGATGAAGCCCTCTTGTGCAACACAGCATCACACAATTTTTCAAATTTATAAATTTCATTACATCTGGCAGCACTCTATGCGTTTGAGTAGTTAAATGTTGTTTGAAATCTACTCAATTCAGTTGTGCTAAACGTCGCTCGGTTAATTTCAATAATTTATACAAATAAAAGTGATTAAAATACTATTTAAATATCATCTTAATAATTCTGAATGCAACAACAGCGCTTGGAAACGTAACATTTTAAAAATAGGTGGGCATAAACAGCGGATGCTAGATTTTTAGGTGTGTATGTGTGAAATTGTGTGTTTTTCAGTGGCGGTGGCCGCGAATGATGACGTGCCCGTGAGAGAGCGCCGGCAGCGAAATTAATAAATGTGTGAAAACACAAACAAAAAAGTAAATAAGCGAAGGAGAAAGTGAGCGAATAACAGGCGTTACAATAACAATAACCACACGGCATTTTCCTGCTGCTTGTTTTTATTGCTGGAGGAGAGAGAAATTTTAAATTGGTTTTAGGAAAGGCGCAGCAGTGCGGCATTTAACGACAACAGCGGCTGCGGCGGCGACTTCATCGACTGCGTTTCATGTGAAACGACAAATAAACTGATTCAGAAGTAAAACTAACGTGGCCGAGACTGTTCACTGTTTACAACAACGTTGCATTAAATACATATATACAAATATATTAAGAGCGGGCGTGCATAAAAAAATAAATAAAAACTAAAGAACAAATTGCATTTGTAAAATAAGAAAATTGTAAAAAAAAACTAATTGCCAATTAATTCAAGTGAACGAAAAACATAACTAATTTAGTTATTACGTGTGCGTGTGTGATTGAGTAAGTACTAAGTGTACGCGAAGATGGCTAAATAGGCATATTACTATAAAAAAAATCTAAAACGGATACGTGGTGGTGTGTCCATCTGACGGATACAAACACTCGCTTTTTTTTTGCTTTTAGTTATTTTGTAGTTATAATTAATAATTTTTAACTAAATTTTTGAAATAAACGTGGGTTGTAGAACGTGAAAATAAGCTACCTATAGAATAGAAACCAAATAAAATGTCCAAAATGCGAATGTATGTGCATAAATGCATTGATTGTGTATTGTACGTCTCATAGCAAATGTGCGTTTTGTGCAGTGCGTAAACGAAATTTTGTACATGAAATGCGTTGATTTACATAACAGTGCAGTGCAATGATTTATTGAGTTTATAACTTTTCACTAATTTAGTACACTTAAAATGCATTTTATAAAAATAACTAAAGAGCAGGATATTTTTGTTTTCCACTACAGCTACGTTGAATTTGAATTTTATTTATTTTTTTTTTTTACTAGTTTCTTTGTTTAAATATTTTTTTAGTTTAAATTTTAAATGCATTGTTTTTTATAATTACAATTTCCCCTTTCCTTTATATTTATACTCAACAATTCGCTGCCGCAACGTTCTATTTATGCCGACGTTTTTAACTACTGAAATTCAACACAAATTGCTTTTTCGCCGTGAAATCACATGTATCTGTGTGTGTGTGTGTGTGTGTGTATTTGTGACGACAATAACAAACTTGTATGTCATACAATGCAATGCTCCTGCTACTAGACTAATCGCGCAATAAAACGGCGTATCTATAAAAGTTAATGCCAGTAAGCACAGGTATACACATATACATATATATTTATTTACAATGTTTTTTGCGACTTTATATTTATCTAGTAAACTCGTATGACTTATAAACATTTGCTATGGAGAAACTCATTTAGGCGTGTATAACCAGCTGTTCAATAACTTATTACTGCTTGATAATTTTTATATAAAGTTGATTACAAAATAGTATAATTAGTGCGTGAAACACACATACTTACAGTTAGTATGTTTGTAGTAGTATCTTTGGTTAAACTGTTGTAAATTAAGAAACTATTTTTAATTATTAAATAAATAAAAAGTTTGTAAGGTTTTCGATTAGCATAGAAGGCTCTTGCTTAGATTTTCTGTGAGAGATTAGAGTACTTATATTTCGCACTTTTTGGCGATGCTTTTTAATAACCAAAATTATTAGTATATATTTAAAAAAAATTCTCTTCCTGTAATTTATTAAACGTTCACCCTAGTATGCAAGTAGATACATTAGCTCGTATGCTCCTACCAATGCATACATGAACGTTTATTTATGTCTCTCATTTCTCCTTTTCACGTTTTTTACTTGTGTACATATATATCTTCGCTGCTTTTTGCAACAAAACATCACAATGACCTTCATAAGGTTTTTTGGTTCTTGCATTCATATATTTTATTTTCATTGGATACGAATCCAGACAAACAAATACTGCATTAGCTTTATGGCTATTCCCCTACTCTTTAAGTACATATGTACAAAAGTATTTACATACAAAAATATTTATCTTGCAAATTGTTTGCGATTTTTGAAATTATTTTTACGCATTTATAACAATATAAAAAGGAAGTTGAACTCAATATCACATTTGCAGCTTTGAAATGTGAAAAAAATTGCGATAAAACCTTGGGATTTGTTTCCGAAACGGAAAGATTATTTACATTTATCGATATCACACATACCCAATGTGCGGTTTATCAGCCCTTTGTTTACATTTTAATCGACATTTAAGTTAAAAAAAAAAATTAACTTTCATGTTGCGCAAATTAACAAACGCCATTTGTGTTGCTTTTACAAAGGTCATCGTATTGTTAAATTTCGTATGTGCATACAACATTCGTGTATGTATGTGTGCATGCATGAGTAACTGTGTGCTCAGCTGTAAAGATATTTTAATTTAGTGTTTACATTGACGTTTTGTTTGCAAATCCAAACAAGTTTATTTACATACACGTATGTATGTATGTACATATGTACCTATAAAGCGTCTTATTACAATCTGAACTTTCTCTGCACTTGATTATTGTTGTTTTTATTTTTTGATTGCTACGTTTTAAAGATAACTGGATATTAAAAATTTGCATTCGCTTATTACTATTTTGTAATTGGCGTTTATTCACTCATAAATCTGTGAGAGTGGCGGACTGTTTTTTGATTGCACATACATATGTACTTACATATATTTGTTTGTAAGTATGTATGTATATAGCACACTAGCAATAATTAAATGCTGGTGCAATTGCGCTATCATGTGACTTTCTATTTCAGAGTCGTTATTAAGACACTTTACAGTGTCGGCTATTGAAATAACCACAACTTTAACTATTGAGTGAATTATTTACTGCTCCTTTAAAAAAAATTAAATTTTTGAGCTTAACTACCTACTAATTTGCCAAAGTAGTTTACCGAAATGTGCATAAAACTGCTATAAAACGTTGGTATGGAAATAACATTTAAATGTTTGAAATATTTTTTAATTATGCGATATTAAGTTTTTTTACACACTAACTGTGTAAAATCGATAATTTTGATGGACTGTGAATTTTTATTTTTTTACTTGAGTTAAAATCATTTTGGTATAGCATTACACAGTAAAAAAAAATATTTTTTAAAAAACTAAAAAAAATAATTTTTAAAGAACTAAAAAAAAATTTTTTTAAAGAACTAAAAAAAATAATATTTAAAGAATTAAAAAAAATATTTAAAGAATTAAAAAAAAATATTTAAAGAATTAAATAAAATTATATTTAAAGAAAAAAAGATATATTGTAATTTTCGCCTATATTTCTATGAACAGCATTGTGCATCAGAAAACAGTCCCAATACGATATATTATATGTATGTGTTTGCCTTGTTATTGCGTTTTTATTTATATTTTTTGCTTCTTATTAATTACATACTCTGGTTTTATGAATAAAGATTGCTTTTAATGGACGTCGATTTTTATTGTTATATTATTACAGCTAGCAAATTCTTAGGATATTCTTATACATATTTCATATACTAGTCTTTTTAAAATAAACAAACATACAACAACAATTCAAGAAATTTGTTTATCGGTTCGCAATGATCATATAAAGGGTGATTTTTTAGTTATTAATTTTTTGGTAACACTGGTTTAAACAGCTGACGCACGTTTCGTGTTTTGTATCACTATCAAACATCTTCAGTGTGGTCTATAATTTAACCATCGTCTTACAAACGAACTACGCTTGCAAATTATTGAATTCTATTATCAAAATGCGTGCTTTGTTAAGAAAGTTCATCGCGCGCTTCTTCTACGCGCGTTTCGAAGCTCATTTTTGGCTTAACGGGTGCGTAAATAAGTAGAATTGTCGATTTTGGATTGAAGACCAGCCAGAAGCATTGCAAGAGCTACCAATGCATAGAGAAAAAGTCACAATTTGCTGCTGTTTATGGTGGCTTCATTGGATCTCACTTTTCAAAGATGATGCGAAGCGTAACTAGAACTGTGAATGGTGAGCGCTACCGTGAGATGATATCAAACTTTTTTTTGCTCGAAATGCAAGAGCTTCAGTTGCATGACATGTGGTTTCAACAAGACGATGCGACATGCCACATAGTACGCTTAACAATGAACTTATTGAGAGGCGAGTTCGGTGTACATTTTACTTCACGTTCGGGACCGGTCGACTGGCCGCCTAGATCTTGTGATTTAACGCCTTTATACAGACATTCCGCTTCAATTGACGCATTGGAGGACAACATTGAAGCATTTATTCGTGGGATACCGGCCGAAATGTTGGAAAGAGTATGTCAAAATTGGACTAAGCGTTTGGGCCATTTGAAGCGCAGTCACGTTCAACATTTGCATGAAATAATCTTCAAACATTTAATTATATGGACTGTACTATCGATTCAAATAAAGATTTCAAGCATTTTTCTGAATTTTATATTTTCTTTTGAGTCTTCTAGTTAGCTGCTTTTTCCACTTTTGAATATTGTTGTTGTCCGATATTCTATTTCTCAGCATGAAGTCTATCCATCTTCTAATCGGTTCTTTTACTGTACTTTTTCTTAGAACATCCTCATGTGAGACTTTACGCGCAACTTGCTGATTTTTTTTACTTTACGTTCCATTGTTGTTGATTTGCCATTCTTTTTATAAGTTCTAGCAGCAAAGCGTATTGAACGGCCGTCGTATGTTTGTCTGTATTTATAAAACTACCAATTAATTTACAAAAAGCTTTTAGAACCAACTTTTCCTGTCTCATGATAATAAAGCCTATATAGAGCGACCTAAATTTGGCAGCTGATATTTTGCCATTTTATTCAACCGGGATTTTTCGATAAATCGAAATACAGAACATCGATATCGTTAGCTAAGTGAAGTCTGATATTGCATCGGATTTCAGAGCAGCACAGTTTGAGTGCTATTGTTTTAAATTAGTACACCACTATTTTAGTAACAATTTTGGGCTTCTCAGCATATTTTAATGATATTGAGCTTCATACTTTTCTATGTAACTGTTTACAAAAAGCTATTAAGTCTGAAATATACATATGTACGTACACAAAAATCAGTAATTTCTATGCCGGTCGGCGATTGTCTTTTTTTCATATGTGTACATATGTACATATTTGACGCACGTATTTACTGCAGCTGTAGTCACAAAAGTACTTACATACATGCATATAAAAATTACATACTCACATTTTGTTTTGGCTCTCTCTTCACATTTACCTTGGCTACTAGGCTTTTACCAATTTCTTACGCTTGCTTGTTTGCTTGCCTTTTTCATTGTGTTCGCCGTCGTCATCAACACACACACACACATGCAAATAAACATAGATACAAGCAAAGCGGGGTGTGCTGCGGCGAAGTATCAAGAAGCAACAGCAGTTGCAACTTTGAAGGAGAATATGTTGCGCTGCAGCTGCTGCTGCTGCGTTAGCTGTGCTGCAGCGCTGTGTTGAACGGCATTTCCCCTTAATCTCATACGATTTTCAGCGTGTATAATAGCAGCATGGTTGCTTTTCTTGCCATTACCATCGAAGGTTGTAAATAATACTTTTTTTGTCTATATATATATATGTACATGCTTGTCGATTTGTCTGCCTGCCAATCTGTCTGTCTGTCTGCCTACTTGCCTGCCATTTAGTACAATTTTCATTTTGTATTGTTTTTCCTGTAGTGTACTCGGTCTGGCTTTTTATTTGCTACTCTATATGTATGTATGTAGGTGTCTGTAAAAGATATTAGATACATTTGTGTGTATTTTTGGCCGGCATTTGGTGATTTCACTGACAATGTGTTGGCAGTGTTTCTATGTACGTATGCACATATGTATGTAGGTATGCCTAATACTTTTGTGTTACTATTTTTGTTTTGTATTTGTTTTCGTCATTGTTAGACGCCACAACGTAAACGGGCCTCCAAATCTTTGAGATACCAGCGGTGCATACATTTTACATGCATACATACATATTTAATTTAAATGTATTTTTAGACTTTATTCTAATTATTTTTAGTTTTTTTTTTCGTTTTCATAGCATTAACTTTGTCATCCTTTGCGCTTTTGTAATGAGTTTTCTTTAGAATTTTCTTAAATATGTACATATGTACATACGCTTTTTCTTTTATTAGTTACTTACAATTCCTTTGTGTCATGCACTCAAAGCTGTCATGCTGGTTTTAATTTCTTGACCTTGTTTTTGCAACTTCGCAGACGCTTTCATTAATGCTAACTAACTACATACTTACATTGTACAATTGCACTTACATATTTGTATGTATATA